ATGATATCTTAGTTCTTTATTCTGTGTGTCACCTTTATCTTACCCTTGAATTTACTTAACCCCTATATAGACCTTGATGTATACAAGTAATATATAAACTATTAGCATAATACTCTCTTATCATATCTTTCTCTGGGATTAAATAAATACGATACCTTGGAATACTCCCGGGTGAGATGCTACAATGGTATATACGTGCGCTTGCGGATCACATATGTAACCATAAATATAACATGAATATTTCCACGTCATTACTAGGAATATATTTCTAGTGTTATCGTTAAGAAATATCAACACACACCTTTGGTAATATTGAGAAGCTAGAATACTATTTTGGTACAGAGTTAGATCTGGGGTGAGATTAGAGACTGATGCAACGTTTGAAAAATTGGAGATGGAAGGAGGGTAGGTTAAATATGAAAGTTCCAAATTAGAAATTGCCAAGCTGGCAATAATGAGTTGGTTGAGGTATCAGTTGATTTATGCTGAAAAGTTTGTTTGCAGTGATAATGACTTTTAGTTGGATCTGGGGTGAGATTAGAGACAGATGCAACATTTGAAAAAAATGGAGATGGAAGGAGGGTAAGTTGAATATGAAAGTTCCAAATTAGAAATTGCCAAGCTGGCAATAATGAGTTAGTTGAGGTATCAGTTGATTTGTTGGTTGAGGTATCAGTTGATTTGTGCTGAAAAGTTTGAAGACGTTGTTTGCAGTGATAATGACTTCGCCAAAGCTGTTTTAGCTGGGCTGGACAAATGTGAAGAGCTGGGATATGAAGATGTTGAATTGTGGAGCGACAGTCAGAGAGCATGTGGCGTCCTGAGTGATTTTGAAACTATCAATATGGATGACAGGAATCGGATGGAGTGCATGCTTCTTAGGTTTAAGTCAACTAGGTTTAAAAGATTGGTCTCTGTGCAAAAACCAAGGGAAATCAAAGATTGGTCTCTGTGCGAAATCTTGTTCATGGTTGATGATATTCTCATAGAGAAAGTTCATTCACGCTACCTTCTGCGTAATTTGCTAAAGAAGTGGTCTCCATATTTGAGAGGACAATCCATCTATAGCATCACACGTACGAAGCTCACAAGGTACATCATTCGTACGAAGCTCACAAGGGACATCATCCGTAAGTTTGGTATGAGTTGTTCTCAGAATATGTTCTATCTATTTTTCTGTATTGTTTTTGGTCTTAAATTGTTTGGAACTCTGTTTTACCGGCTACGTACATAAACCAGAGTCAACTTTCTATTGGAAGGTTGAAAAAGGACATAAATTTGAGGAGTTGATGAAGATGTTTATTTTTCTCAGACGTCATAATATAGACCTGGTCATTCACCAGTTTGATGAAAATCTTCAAGTCTCCAAAGGGATGTCATGGATTTTTTTTCTGAATTTGATGTCCTACAAGTACTATTTTCTAGTATAGATTGTGTAATTCTCAACAAAGGCATTAGATGAATATGATGGCCTGGACACCACCACTGTAATCCTAACAGATGAGGAGGAATAAGTGGAGGAACTAAGGCTATGATGGCCTGGACACCATCACTGTAATCCTAACAGATGAGGAGGAATAAGTGAAGAAACTAAGGCCCTGTTTAGTTCCCACACAAAAGTTTTACACCCTGTCACATCGAACGTTTGAACACCTGCATGAAGTATTAAATATAGGCTAAAAAATAACTAAGGCTGCGTTCGTTCGTGTGAGATGGGGTGAGAAAGCACCTCGTTTTCCGCGCGCAAGCTTCCCAAACTACTAAATGTTGCATTTTTTGCAAAAAAAATTTCTATATGAAAGTTGCTTTAAAAAATCATATTAATCTATTTTTAAAATTTAAAATAGTTAATACTCAATTAATCATGCATTAATGGCTCACCTCGTTTTGCGTATCTTCGCAATCTCCTTCTCCTCAAACTCACCCTAATTGCGCGGATTGTGACTAATTTGTGAGACAAATCTTTTAAGCCTAATTGCTCCTTGATTTTACAATGTGGTGCTACAGTTAACATTTGCTAATGACAGATTAATTTGGCTTAATAAATTCGTCTTGCTGTTTACTAATGGATTCTATAATTAGTTTTTTTATTAGTGCCGAACACCCCATGCGACACCCTATATAATACCCGATATGACACGCCAAAACTTTACACCCCTATATCTAAACACCCCCTAAGGAGGAAGCGCTAGAATACCCGCTTCCCGAAGACGAATCTCCTCAGCACGAATCTCTGTAAGAGCTTCCATCAAAGTAACACGGGGTGCCGAGCAAGCAACTGTGCACGAATCGACTCATACACGGAGCAAAGACGAGTGAGAAAATCATAGATGCGACGAAGATCCATGTGAGAACGCTGACGCTGACAGCACTGACAGGTACGACAAATATCAGGGCCCAAAGAATCAAGCTGGCGTCAAATGGAGGATAACTGTGTATAAAACTCATCCACGAAAGCATCCCCTGCTATAAACACTGCTCCTAACGCACCATAGCAAGATAAAGAGCATCACCGGTAGGTGCATAACAATCACGGAGATGTGTCCACATAAGATGAGCAGAAGCAAGGGTGACCACGTCGCCAGTAAGATGAACCTCCATACCAGCCACAAGAATAGCATAAGCACGAGCATCCTCATCCAATCAAGCCTTGTACATAGCATACTGACCCTGATAAGTCTCTATAGCATCATCATAAGTCTCTTGCGCCTTTGCTCTGTTGTAGGCTAACCTAAAAGAACAGGCATAGTAGGAACCTCGGGGCAAGCCGAACAAAGTAGCTCACTAGAAAGAACATCCCAAAGATGCTGACCATGCATGTGAAGATGCATATGCTGAGTCCAGTGATTGTAGTTGACACCATCAAAAATAACCGGGCAACGAGGAACGAAAATTGTGCTGATGAAGAGGACATCATCAGGCACAATTGATGTTCGACGGCTAGAGCGCAAGAAATAAAAGCGGCAGTAGGCAAAGAAAGTTTTTTTTCTTTTTTTTTTCTTTTCTTTTATTTAACCTTGATGAGCAAGGAGAAGAGAGCCGTTGCAGTGGTGAAGATCGAGATTGCTAATTAGCGCGTACGCGCGAGATCAGCAAGTCACGAGCGTTTCGCGACGGCAACGCCTCAGCTTTGTGTCTGACATGGGCCTGCTGGGCCTAGTGACTTTTTCCTATAAAAAAATGCAGTAAAACACAGTTTCTGCAAAAACTTATAATTTTTACTGCACTCTTACAGTAACGATGCGATGGGATTGTAGTAACGTGCAACTGACAGTAGTAACAAGTAATGCTATAGCATTACTACTCGTGGAGAGTCAAATTTTAAAAAAGCCAGGATTTGAAGAACAATATCTCTCACATGATGTACTATTTTTTAAAATCGTTTGCACCATGATGCTAGAAAAAAACGCTTATCAAAAGTAGATCCATCATGACTATATTTTAACAATATTTGAGCGTTGTTACTACACATAAGACGTAGGGGTTGTTTGGTTGCTGCCCTCGCCTGGAGACCGTTGCTCAGGCAGGTCGATCCGACCACAGGCGACCGAAATCGAACGCCTGAGATCGACGCCTGAGCCATGCGCGAATCTGAGGGCAGCAAGCAAACACGCCCGTAATGTTACTGCACGTTGACCGCCGCGTTACTGCACCGTTTCGTGAGACAGAGCTGAGAAGAGGTGGGTGGTGGGAGGAGTTAGCAGGTGGTTTGACCGCGGTTTGACTGACGTGGGATGCTTTTGACTGACCTTTGACTGAGGTGGGAGGCGGGTTTGGCCCTTGGGAGAGAGGGGTATAGAATAGCTTTCTATACCCCGGGTGTAGAATAGTTCTTGGTGAGTTAAAAACTAATGCTGAAAAAGAAATTAACTATGTTGAAAATATCTCAAAATTAAATTTGAAAATTTAAAATTTGATTTTTTTTCTTTGGCTGATTAGGCCATCCGATAGGAGCCGTTCCACTCCATGAAGCTGCTGAACGGTTCTCTGTTGACATGATCAAATTGCTCTTCCGCCAAGGCGCTTCAGCCAACGTACGTACAATTGGTGATGAGGTCACCGCGGATCTACTACCCCTCCATGTTGCAGTTGAAAAATACTTGCATGCATATATAAGTATGTGGAGGACAATCTATCCAGTATCAGCGGGATTATACCTACGAGCTCATTCATCTGCTATGCCTACCTGAGATGGTTTGTTTCACTCCCTCACTAAACTAGTACTACTACTTTTGCAGCATGACAAATAAAAATCATTTTACCGTGTTATATTTTTAAAATTTTCACATGTGCCGTGGCATGTTCTTATTTCAAATTTACAGACATGGAGTCGGATAATTCTATTTTGCTTGTAGATTGGTCCTAATTCAGATTTTATTTTGCTGGGAGATTTGGTCCTAATTCATACTTAAATATAGTTAGATGAAGATGCTGAAAAGCACTCAGATTTTGCTGGGAGATTGGTCCTAATTCATACATAAATATAGTAAAAAAACAAATTTAACCGTGAATATATATTAACTAGCTGTGGTTTAATTTCTTTTTTTCATTACGAGATGTAAAAGTTGAATTTAAACTTGTATGTTTGTAGAGTGTTATATCATATCTTAATACATCTTTTCAAATTTTTCTAAATTTTTTCATCACCATTTAAGTGACGTGCAAATAACGAAAGATATCCCCTCGAGGATTCAAAACAGTTTCCCCTCGCCAAAGCTCATGAACTTCTCATCCGGCAAATCCGCCGCCTGCCGCCTAACTCCTCACCTCCTTCTTCGCCTAAACCTTCCCCATCGAGCAGGCAAGCGTGTGCTTGGCCGGTCGCGTGCGTGCCCGTGGAACACGTGCGCGAAATCAAACCACCGGAGCGCCATGAACAACACGCGCGCGATCAAGCTAGCTTAGCTGCATACGCACACGTGCTGCAAATCCAGCTTCGATTCTGCTCCCACTACATATACCAGCAGCTGCAGAGAGGGTCAGTAGTCAGTACAGTAGCCTGCGTTCTCGTGTAGCCATCTTGTGTATCGAATAGCTATAGCTCTCCAGCAGATTGATCAGTGACGACGACGACGATGGCGGCAATGGCGGCGGCGGCGGCGGGGACGAAGAAGAAGGCGAGGAAGCCGTACACGATCACGAGGCCGCGGGAGAGGTGGTCCGCCGAGGAGCACGAGCGCTTCCTTGACGCCCTGATTCTGTGAGCGCCTCATCAATTGATCGAATTCAGAACCGATGCAATTCAGAATTGAGACTCATCATCTTTCGCTGGCAATGTTTTGCAGGTTCGGCCGTGACTGGAAGAGGATCGAAGCGTTCGTCGCCACCAAGACGGCCATCCAGGTAGGCCATCGATTGATCGATTTGTCCCTCTGCAAGATCATCAATGGCGGCTTCAGAATCCAAGATCGAGTTCGTTTCTTGGATTTTTTTTTTCACTTTTGCTTGCAAGCCCTGATCGATTTGCCATGGTCAATTATCCAGATTCGCAGCCATGCCCAGAAGCATTTTCTGAAGGCCCGCAAGTTCGGCCTCGCCGGTGGGCTCCCGCCGCCGCTTCACCCTCGCCGTGCCACGCTGCTCCGGGCCAACGCCGCGGCGGCGGACATGATGCCGCCCCCGTGGCTGCCATCGGCCGGCGGCGGCTCCATCGGTTGCTCGGCGCCACCGTCCGGCGTGCAGCAGAGCATGGCCGGCAGGTCGCCGGCGTGCTACTCAACTGATGAAGCTTCTTTCCGGCCATTGATTCATAGCAGTGAGTGTTCTACTGTTCATCTGAACATTTCCGCCTGCTTCCTGAAGATTAAACTGCAACTAACACTGAAACTGATCGAGCAGATGACAATGACTGTTCATTCATCGAGACACCAAGCTGCATCGGATCAGGTGGCGAATCATGGATCGGTGATGATGCCTTCTTCATGCAGGATGAAACAATTCGGCTCCCAATTTCTCCAGGTACGTACTGATTCTTCCCTTGCCTGTTGCATAGTTGCAGTAAATGAGAGCAACTTCTTCAAATCAGCATTTTTGAGCTGTGTGATCACGCATTTCTTGATTTCTGACCTCTGCATTTTCTTGTTCTGCAGATGACCTGGGATTCGCTCAGGTGTACAAGTTCGTCGGCGACATGTTCGGCTCCGGCGAGCGGCGGCCGGTGGAGGCTCACCTGCGGAGGCTGCAGGGCATGGACCCTGCCATCTCGGAGACGGTATGCAAAGCTGACACCTCTCACCCACTCATCGCCATTAATTTTTGGTTTATTGTTCTTCAGTTCAATTTTCTTATCTAATTGCGAGTTGGTGATTTTGTGCAGATCTTGCTGGTGCTTAAGAATCTCGAAGCTAATCTATCTGCTTAAGAAATTCAGAAATTCTTGGCTTCTTGTCAGGAGCAGAGCGTGTGACTGAGAGCGGCATCAAGCAATTGTTTTTGGCATTTCGCTTTTTATGTCATTTTTTATGCAATGCATTTTTTTTGGAGAGATTATGCATTGCATTTGATGACCACATAAGATGTACATATAGGATTAGTTACTTGTGTATGTAAGATTGAGACATTCTTCAGCTCTAGTTTTTTTTATTCACTTAGTTTGATTCTTGGAAAGTTTAGTTGAAGGAAATTCAAGTTCGATTCTCGGTGTAAAGATTCAAATAATAGAATGACTTCAGCTTAGAATTTAAACCTTTTGCACTTTGCGATTTGCACAATCTAATCAAACAGAGCTTCAAAACTGGAGTAGTATTCCCTCCGTTACATTTTAAGGCCCCATTTGATTCAAAGGAAATTTATAGTAATTTTAAAGGATTTTATTCCTATAGGAAATTTTCCTATATAGCCCTTTGAATCAAAGGAATGAATCCTATGTAATCCCATGAAATTCCTATCGAATGCCTCTTCCCATGCAAGTTTTGGAGGAAATTTAGCATTAAGAATCATTTGAGTCTTTATCTCTCCTCAAATTCCTGTGTTTTTCCTGCGGCTCAATCAAACCGTCATTCCAATGTTTTTCCTGTGTTTTGTAATCCTCTGTTTTACACTTGTATTCTGTTTTACACTTGTATTCCTGTCAGAATCCTATATTTTTCCTATTTCTCTGTTTTTTTATTCCTGTGATTCAAATGGGCCCTAAGTACAGTTATACGTTTCTGTGTCTAACGTTTGATCATCCATCTTATTTGAATTCTTTTAAGATTAGTATTTTTTATTAGATGATAAAATATAAATAGTATTTTATGTGTTATTTTAAAAAAATCATAAATTTTTAAATAAAACGAACGTTCAGGAAAAAAAACACACAAATGCATTTAGAGCAGGTACAATAGCAGGCTATAAGCCAGCTACAAATATATTTTAAGGAGATAAATCAGGAGAGAGAAGAGCAGCGGACTATAGATTTGTAGCCAGCTGTAGCACGGACTCCAAGACACAGTGTGTCTATGACAGGTGGGATTAGGTATTAATAGTGTAGTATGTAACTATTGTATGAATGAGCTATTAGATTGGCTATAGATGAATTGGAGCTAGTAGTTGGCTATACTATTGAACTTGCTCTTAAAACGGGAAGGTGTCGCTCAGAGCAGGTACAATAGCAGGCTATAAGCCAACTGTAAACATATTTTAAGGAGATAAATCAGGAAAGAGAAGAGCAGCGAGCTACAGATTTATAGCCAGCTGTAGCACGGACTCCAAGACGCAGTGTGTCTATGATAGGTGGGACTAGGTATTAATAGTATAGTATGTAACTATTGTATGAATAAACTATTAGATTGGCTATAAATGAATTGGAGCCAATAGTTGGCTATACTATTGAACTTGCTCTCGTGGGACCCACATACTATATACTATCAGCCACGCTAAACCTTAGCTCGGACCCCACCAACACAAATCGCTTTACAGCTGGCCTCCCCCCGCGCAGCCGCACTCCCGGATTTCCTCATCGCATCGCATCCGTCCATCTCTCCCGCAACGCGATCTCCACCGTCCAAACGCCGCAGCACACACAACGCGGCCATCATATAAACCCCCTCGGCCGCCGGCGTCTCGACGGCCGCCACCGCCGCCGCCGACCACTCTCCTCCGCGTCCGCCTCGTCGCCGGCTAGGGTTCCACGGGTTCTTGCCCGCCCCGCCCGCCGCCCGCCTCGCGGGCTGCGCAGGTACGCGCCCCGGAACCCCAAGCCACGAGTTCCCCCCCCCCCACGCGTTTCGGCGCGATTCCTCGCTCGTTGTTGTCCCCAGCCTCGCCGCCTCGGTCATCTCGTGCTGCGGCGCGCCGCCCGCGGGGGCGCGTGTTCTTTACGATTCTAGGGTTTTTCGCGTGGTGGTGTTGGTTCTGTGAGCCTTGGCCTCGTGATCGCCGTGTTAGGGTTTATGCCGATTAAACTCGGTTTGATCACAAGCTGTGACTTCCCTTCCCGTTGCTTTAAGAAAAATCATGGAGTACTAGAGTAAGAGTTCGCACTAATTTGTTCGTGGTCTGGGATTTGGAGGGGGGGGGGGGGGTTTGAGAGATTTGTAAAAGTTGTCGCTTCGTTGAGGGGTTTTTCGTGGACGTATGATCTTTATTTGTTAGTCGCTTTCTGATGCTCACATCGCCATCATGTCTTTGTCGTTCAGAATAATCTGATATGACAACACATCAATGATCCCCTTTACTATGCAGTAGTTTTCAGCATTTTTCTTTGGGACAATTAGAAAGTCAACGTTTTAATTATTATGTTGTTGCAAAACTCAACACGATATTCTACTACGAGGATGCTAAATGATGTGTTGCAGTTCCTCATCTAGAGGGAAACAGATTATCTCAATGCAACTCCACTGTTGCCTGTATGGAGATGTCATAGAATTGTTTTGGTTGCTTACTCATTCACCAATGTGTTACTGCTATGATCATGCAACTGGCTAATTAATAAATTATGATCATGTAACTGGCTAATTAATAAAAACATGAGGAACATTAGTAGGCATGTTTCTGTTATATGGTGACATGGTGTTCTTGGTGCTTTTCTTGACACGCTTAATCTTTTCTTGCAAGGCAAAATGTCTCGGTATGTTGACCCTAATGACCGTTACGAACCACGTGGTCGTAACAGCAGGTTGTATGTGGGCCATATTTCTCTACGTACAAGGGCAGAGGATCTTGAGAACCTGTTCAGCAGATATGGGAGGTGAGCATATTCCTCTGCTCTTTCATCGATGCCCCTGAAATGGAACTGCATCCATTACACTTGTAGAAACTAGAAACTAGATATGGTATTTATTTGTCAAGTCTTGCTTGGTTTGATTTCCACGAGCTTATAGAAAACTTTTCAAAGCTAGTGTCTGCTCTGTGACTTGCAGACTAATTAAATATCAGTATTCATCCTAGTCATGGGTACTTCAGGTTCACCAACATTGATGTATATATCCTAGAGTCTATTCTAATAGTGTTATTTTGCTGGCAATGTTTTCTTGAGATCAGTGTTGTCCTATAGTCATGATTCACATGGTACCTACTTGAGTTTTGGTTTGTGGCTCTGCTTTACTTACTTGTAAGTAGTACTCATCTGTTGTGACAGAAACACAAACTTTGTGAGACACTGTTCCTATGTAATGTGCCTTGTAGCTACATCAATGCAACCCTTGTGGAGTCTTCGTCTTGCGGGAATGTTTTACTTTCTAGCGCTTGAGATGTCCAGCTGCAAGCATCTACCCCATATGTTCCCTACGAACAAGTTTTCGCAGTTTTTGTTGCAAGAATGGGACAAGTTGGTTTTTTCAACTGTTTACATAATTCTGTTAGGATTGTCCTCTTTTACTGGTGGAATTCTTTGCTATTTGAATGACAGGTTGCATTCTATCACATGTACAGAACATTTTTTTTGAGGTTTTGACTTGGGGTAATCTTGTTGAGGGAGGGTGCCCTGAGTGGACTTGGTGACGGTTGCTTCAAGTTTAAAGCACACTTTGTTAATTTTCCTTAGAAAAAACATCAGAGTTCAGTAATGCTTGACTTTAACCACAGACTAGTGGATGTTCCCATTACTTGCATCTTGATGTCATTACTATTTCTGCCAACCATTTCCAGGGTGCGATTTGTGGATCTGAAGAATGAATATGGCTTTGTTGTAAGCACAACTTTCTTCTCCGGTTTTAAGATTTACTCCTGGAATCTTTCCAGTTGACTGGGAACTTCACTAGACAATTCATATGTAAGGTTATCCCTGTTTTTCTGCTGGATGACCTGGACCCTATCGCAGGAGTTTAGTGATCCCCGGGATGCAAATGATGCGAGGCTTGATCTTGATGGCCGAAAGTATGATGGGAGTGACATCATTGTTCAGTTTGCAAGAGGGGTAAACCATTCATTTTTGCAATTGTTCTTTGCTACACGTATACCTGAACTCTGTACACTATCTTGATTTGTGTTTTGGGGCTACATCGGAGCTTTCATAAAGCACTATCCAGGACAATGGTTTTACTAGTTATCGGTCACCCCTTTGTTTTATACATTGTTGTCCTGTTGCTGTTTTTCCCATTCCAAATGACATACCTTTGTTGATTTTTTAGGTCGAACGTGGTCTTGGAGGTTCTCGTGGATATAAAGCCAGACCCGCACATGGTTCTGACCACTGCTTCAACTGTGGGATGGAGGGGCACTGGCACCGTAACTGCACTGCTGGTGACTGGACAAATAGGTGCTATGGCTGTGGAGAGAGGGGTCATATATTAAGGGAATGCAAGAACAGCCCCAAGGATCTCAAGTATATCCCTTAGTTCTCTAGTGAGCATCCTTGTTACCTTATTTTATTCTGCACATTTGATATGAAGTTTCATCAACGCAGGCAAGAGAGAGGCTACTCAAGGTCCCGTTCACCTCGTCGCAGAAGGAGCCCAAGCTATGGCAAGAGGTAGGACCTAGGTGGCTAGGACAACCATTTCCTTAATTTGAAGTATTGAACATTATTGCCATGATGATCTTGTGGTGATATTTGTGCAACTACTCTGCTATTCATTTCTGGTGCTTGTATCAAGGATAAATATGTTATGCATATGAGGTAGGAGTGTATTTCATTTAGACATTTCCGAGTTATCTTACCTCCAACCTAGTTATCCCTGTTGTTGCTGCTATACGATGATACCTGTATCATGCTTAGGAATCTGTTGCGACCAATCTTAGGTACTCAGCTGATTAATAGGTGAGCTGCCTTCTCTTGGGCACTAAGCTCATAAGATACTGCTGAATGCTAATATATTTGCTGCAGTATAAAGTGCTCCATGAATTTGGCTTTTATGAACCTATATTTGATACATGTGCAATGTTCTGCTTTTCCTCTCTTCCTTCATTACTGGTTGTTGAGTTGATAGATTTTATCATTAACCACTATTAACTTTGTGATTTCCTTGTTAACAGTGGACCCCCTTCTCATTGGGGTAGCCATGGTGCTGATCGTGAGGAAAGGCTTCATTCAAGAAGGGATGGCCGCGGTTACAGCCGCAGCCCTCGGCGCCATGATTCGCCTTCCAATCAGAGAAACCACAGCCCTAGGCGCTATGCTTTACCCTCCAATGAGAGATATGATGGCACTAGGCGCTACGCCTCGCCTTCTTATGGGAGAGACCGCAGTCCCGGGGGCAATGCTTTGCCAGCCAATGGGAGAAGCCACAACCTCACATCAGATGGCATGAACCCTTCACCAAGGGAGAGAGATGATCAGAATGGGAGCCACAGGAGAGGTGACAACGATTACCTGCCCAGTAAGAGAGATGATCAGAATGGGAGCTACAGGAGAGGTGACAGCGATTACCTCTCCAGGGAGAGAGATGATTACCTGTCCAGGGGGAGAGATGATCAGAATGGGAGCCACAGGAGAGGTGACAGCGATTACCTGTCCCGCGACCGTTGATGACAAACAATGCCATGGCCTTGAATCTGCAACAGTCTTTTTGGTGTTGTGACTCTTGGAACAAACTCTCCTCCTGGATGGTGAATATGTTTGACTGTTGAGACATGAGATTTCTTGGCTGGCTAATTTTGACCGCACTCTGTAGTATGTACACTGTAGTACCTTCACCTTGCCTGCACTCCGCAAACCTTTTATGACCTGATATTGGTGTGGGATTAACGAGGATTTTATCAGTTAGTCGCTGTCAGCGAAATCTTCCTTTGTATGCTTGTGCTAAATCTTGGTTGGCTGTAATCATTAATGACGTGTTACATCAAAATGGACAGGTTTTTAAGAATTGAGAAAGTGCGCAATTCATCGGCAGAAACTGCAGCCGTGGAATTGGAATTGATTCAGTTTTTCTGTGTGCTGTATTTCGTCCATCAGATGCAGCGTTAAGCAACTAAACGTTGTGTACAATCTCTACCTACGTTTCGCATGTTTTGTGAGCCACATTTTGTCATGTAGTGTATTTACCACCGTCTTGCCATATTATGTGTGCTGGATTTTTCCAGAAAACATGTGAAAAGTAACAAGATAAGGTAACATAGAAAATCAAAAATCAATTATTTTTTCCAACGAGAAATGTGCAGCATATCAACAATGTTCATTCTGTAACATAATCCATTTTCAGGCTTTAAGATAAATAAGAAACATATGTATGTACAGTATAGGGGTAACAAAAATTCAATGCAATTGAAGGCTTGTTATATATATCTGGGCAAAATCAAACAAGAGTGTAGACAATCAACTGAGCAAGAAACATCTCATTTTCCCTAACTGAACATGTTCAACATTTTTTTGCAGTGACTCTTAGGACAATTTCACTCCAAATTCACCTCCCTTCTGTGTTGATCAGCTGTGAGAAGGCATTACTGGTTGACATCTGAGAGTAGTCCATGGCCGTTCGGCTTTCATCTGCAGTGCTGATCTCCAGGGAGCTTATCCTCTGGGCATTTGAAGGGAGTTCAGAGATCTGATTCATGCTATCAATGTTGGACATGTCCGGGCCTGCCTCCTGCAGCTGGAGCACAAACTCCAGGTTCCACAGGACATCTCCCATCGTAGGCCGTTCGACGCCGTACTCCGCGAGGCATTTCTCCACCGTCTCCCCGTACTTCCTCAGCGATTCTGGCCTGATTGTCCCGGCGATCCTCTTGTCGATGATCTGATCAAGCTCTCCTCTCTTTTGCCACTTAATAGCCCACTCTGCAAGGTTGATCATGTCTCTTGGAAGCGTCGGGTCGATGACTGGCCTTGCGCAGATCACCTCTAGCAAGACCACACCGAACGAGTACACGTCTGACTTGTCGGTCAGCTTCTGCCTCCTGTAGTACTCAGGATCAAGATAGCCGAAACTCCCTTTCACGGCGGTGCTAACATGTGTCTGATCAAATTCAGGCCCTGTTTTTGAGAGGCCAAAATCAGAGACCTTGGCCATGAGATTTTCATCGAGGAGAATGTTTGCTGACTTGACGTCACGGTGGATGATCGATTTTGCGAAACCGGTGTGGAGGTAGTGGAGCCCTCTTGCAGCACCAATGCAGATTTCCAGCCTTTTCTTCCAGCTGAGTGGAGGCTGGTCACCGCCATACAGGTGACCCTTCAGAGTGCCTTTCTCCATGTACTCATACACCAAGATCATCTCATTGCGCTCATCGCAGTAACCAATGAGCGACACGAGATGGCGGTGTCGCAGCCCAGACAGCAGCTCGATCTCCGTCCGGAATTCCCTAATCCCTTGGTGAGACTTCTGGTTGCCACGCTTCACTGCAACTTTGGTGCTGTCCTGCAGAACTGCTTTGTAGACCTTCCCAAATCCTCCGACTCCAATAACCATCTGCTCATCGAAGTGGTTTGTTGCCTCTTGCAGAACAACAAAAGGAATCCGGTAGCTTGTGTCGCTGTTAGTTCCAGATGTATAAGTGGTCCGGCTGGTTGTCCGGGTACCTGTACTAAGGAAGCTGAGAGCATTGAGAGAGAGTGGTGTCCAAGAACTTGAAGGCCGACTTGTTAATGGCGTCTGCGGTTTCTTCATCTTCTTCTTTCTTCTGAAAACAACACAGAGAACAACGACAATGATAGCAGCACCAATGCCTCCAAGAACAGATCCTAAAATGATGGGCAATTGTTGTTTCGCTGCTGATGGCGGTTTGACAACGTAAACAGATCCACTGCTGAAGTTCATCTTCATGATCTCCAGGCCATTCAGGATTCCATCAGGTGTTGCATTAGGCAAGCTGGAAGGACCTATGCTGACAGTGAGGTTACCTGACGGGTCACTTGATGGTAAGACAATATCCATGTAGAATGGCGCCGCCAGTGTACCAAATTCTCTGGCGGAGAGATCAAGATCTTTTGCTGCTGAAAAGTTATAAACATAGACATCAAAGTAGAGCTGAAATGCTGCCTTGCTCACTATGTCGCAGAAATGGAACCGAATCAGGTAGCTTGAACGGCCATCAACATTGAATTCCCATGTCATGTTTGGCGTGGAGCTGGCGTTCCTCTGCCCAACCAACCGCCTCGCAGTATTGTAGACACTGTCTGGTGCATCATCCTGCGTTGCTGATCCATCTTTGTAATTCAGTCTTTCTTGGTAAGTAACTGCTTGAGCGACAGTGGGATTTCTGAAGAAGCTCTGATCAGCAAACCATGTTCGAGCCAGAGTATCATTTTCAGCTGTGACCTTCGGCCCGCCCACATTGATCCTGTGGAATGTTTGCAATGGCTGTGCTGCCAGTCCAAGATACTGCCCAACACCCAGAAGTTGCGCCGAATCAGTAATTAGATCATCAGGAACCGACACAACTTCAATGGCGTTGACGAAGGATGTACTGTTCCCTTCCGGCACAAAAGTTAGAATTAGCCTGTCTCTTGTAATGTTCAGAGAATACTCCATGACCACTGAGATGGAATTGCTTGGCTGAGGGAAATTATCAATGAGAACAACATCTTCTGTTGACACCTTGAATTTTGAGCTTGCAAGATCATAGCTCTGATACAAGAAAGGGAAGAAGTAGAGCCGGACAAAATGCCGGCCACTGCTTCTCATCTTGAATGAGTAGGACGACGGCGCAGTGAATATCCTTGCGGTTTGAAACAGCTCGGCATTGTCGAAACCCGACACCGAATTCAGCGTGGTTCTAGCAGCAATGCTCTGACTCTGAGGGGTTGTCAACACAATAGACTGCGAATTGTCAGCTACAAAGACCCTCTGACCAACAGTTGCATCGACCGTGGAACCACAGTTCACAAGATAGTTGTCTGCAGGGGTGAATTTTGCATTGCAGGTACCAATAATCCAGGTGATGATCCCAACAAGAGCTAGAACTAATTTAAGCTTTCTAAAGGTACTATCCATGATGAATCCCAATGAAAATTGGAGGCTAAAATGGTATCAAAGGGCCATGAATTGCACAGAGATACAGATAAGCAGACAACACTAAGGGGAAAAAAAGGAGAAGCTAGAGTAGTTGAAGAGGGTATAAGTGAATAATTTGTCTCAGAGCTGGAGCCATGACATCCAAAGAAACTGAGCTCATTCTGGATTGCAAGGACAATCAGAAATTGGAGAGGAGAATGTCAATGAATTCTTCTCATTTTTTGGCGGGGATTTGCAGAAGGGGAGAGAAATCAAATCACAGCAAGATAGACCACAAAACCTTCCTTCTCAGGCAATAACCTTGACAAGAACTCTCACACCTTCCTTCTCAGGCAAGAACTTCACCAAGAACTCTCACAATATTCACCATGAACTCGATCTGCGCAAGAATCCCACAAGGCATGGTCAGTATCTTCCCCAGGATGCAACAATCCACAATTGAACATAAACCCTCCAGAAACCAACCCGATTCCCCAACCAAGAGAAGGACAACCAAATCATTCTAGAGAAGGGTTCTTGGTAGCAGTTAAGGAGTTACCTTCGGTGGCACCCAAGCAGTTTCAATCCTTGCCTCTCCACAAAAATTTCAGTTTTTTTTGCATCACACAAGAAACTGAAACTTTCGCACCAAAACCGCCCAACAATTAATCAGGGCAAAGAACCCAAGACCCAAATGAATAGTAGATTTTGCTTGCAAGCCTCTCTGAGTCTCTGCAACACGCAGCTTCTTGAAGCCAAGAACAGCCAACAGGTGGAAGAAGAAAGAAGAAAACACCAAAGGCACCGCCTTTTAAGCAAAAGGGGGTGAAGTGAACCAAGCCAGGTGGAAGCAATTAGACAGATAAGCACAAGGCAAGTGACTCTAAACTACTTAAACCACTATACTAGTAAATTACTTTAATCCAAGATAATGACTTGCAGTTGATGCCCATGGTTAGTGAGAAAATTGGCAAGAATTGGTCAGGCAGGCAGGAATATGAATTGGTGAAATGCAATGAGGTGAGGTGAAAAGCGACCGGATTTGGACTGATTTTCTGCTTCCGGGTGTGAATCATGAATGCAGCATCGGGTGAGGTCATTAAATTTTGAGCTGGGGCCATGGATGGATGGAGGAAAGAGATGATGATAGAAGAAGTTGGTGGGAAGATGGAGTAGAAGTATCAGAGAAAAAGAGAGAGGGGTGAAGTGAACAACCGTGAGCGTGTGTGCGTGTGAGCTGGGAGTGGGCCAGAAAAAAGATGAGGTGAGCACATGAGGAGGTTGCTGCTAGCTGCACGCACAAAAGGCTGCAATACGTGTATTTCACACTTCCCTCACCCCTGTTTTTTTTTGGGTACTTTACCGAATTGTTATCGTAGATTATCTGTGACCTTCCCCTTGATATGGACTCTTAAAGGAAGACCAGTCTGTTATCTCTAGAGTAATTTTTATCCGTTGAGCGACAGCCCTTCTACTCGGCACCGTCTGGTCACTGAGGCCGACTTTCGTCTTTGCTCGACGGGTGAGTCTTGCAGTCAAGCTCCCTTCTGCCTTTACACTCGAGAACCAATGTCCGTATATTTAAAGTATATTTTCTTAAAAGAATCCACTCATTGATTATACCAAGACATATATTAAGTTTATTTTTCAAAGTGTTTTTTATCCATATCATTTAAGGAAAATTGCAAAAACCACTCTATAACTCTATAAGTCACTTAAAGTTTGACATTTCATCACATAAGTTATTTGTTACAAATACCCACCCACTACTTAGTTTTCTTGCAAAAACCACCCCATTGTTTTAATTTTACCGTAAAGACCACATCGATGGTTCGCGCTTTAAGAAAACATGTTGATTTGGTTAAGCATGTACTTACTGGGTGGTTTTTACAACAAAGTTGAGTATACGTGGGTAGGCATTTCTAGCAAAATGACTTATGGGGTAAAATGTATAACTTCAAGTGACTTACGGGGTGGTTTGTGCAATTTTCCCTATATAAAAACAAATAATCCGTGTCAGTAATATAGTGAATAATCTATTTCAAACGTCTAATGTATGAATTTTGTTTTTTAGAAACTAGTTTGAATTTTACTAAAATCCTCTAAATTTCCTATGATTTGGTGAAACTTTATGATAGTTGGGAGTTAAAATATTTGGATCTGATTCTCCTTGTAAAAGGATGTGATGAAATAGAACCTCCAACCAATAAAGGTTTTCTTTCTGAGTTGAACTAGTAAGTTGAGACATTCGCTTTCTCATGTATGAGAACTAATCAACATGTGATTTATTATAGATTTCAGGAAAAATATATAAAAAGCAAATATAGTTATAGTTTTCAATGGTTGTGGGAGAATAGAATGAATTGTTTTTGTTTTTGTTGTTTTTGCTTTGTGCAAGTCGAATTTGAGTCGTTGTAAAGACATGAATATTGAGTCTAAGAACTCTTATAAGTTTTAGTTAGCTGTGTACATCCGTTTAGATGTAGAGGTCGGTTTAATCTATTATTAAAAAAATACAAAACACAATTTGTTAAAAGAAACAGCATACATCCTTCTTCATCTCAAATGGGCCACATTTTGACCAGTCATTTCCATATTACAAAGTTCTCAGGAGGAAATAGTTCTAAGAATTTTTTATTGCATATTACTCATAATAGTAATAGTTGACGTTTCATTATTCCTAGACCTCTTTTATCGCCTTTAGGCTGTGTTTAGTTGAGGAGAAAGTTTGGATTTTGATTGAAATTGAAGATGATGTGACTGAAAAGTTGTGTGTGTATGACATGTTGATGTGATGGAAAAGGACTAAAGTTTGTATCCAAATTTTGGATCTAAACACAGCCTTAATGGGGATGGGAGCCAGGCACATCACAATAAATCGCACTCTCAATTTCCTTACCGACAAGCATTAATCTAACCATAATAAGAAAAGAAGTACAGCATGATGTGATAGCTACATCCATTAATTAAAACTCCTTCTTGACTAAAAAACATTTATTTTTCCCAAGTAGCCTAAACTCACCATCGGGTCTTCTTTATTTGAAGCACGCAAGTACACACGGTGGTGAATTGATTAAAAATATCATGTCCTTGACATATTCATGCAGTGCGCGAAAGGATTAAAATTATCCAGCCCCATTGCCAAACGGCATATTTACAAACGAGAAGTAATTTGGAAATACAACTTTTATATACGTGCTTTTAGTTTACTAAAAGCAAAGGCTGAAAAATAAATTTCGATTAAAAAAACATCAAAATCAGCTTTAAATTTAAGGTTAAAAATTCAAATTCTGTCTGATAAGTATAAACATAAGCAAAAAGATTGTGTCGATCGGGTCCTTAGACATACCTAGAGCAATATATGCTCCCACCGTTGCATAAAAAACAAACCTATAACTAAATGCAATATTTTCTAATATAATAAATCTAGACAAAAATCCTAGGTTTATTTAGTTTTTGAATGAAAGGAGTAGAGTAATAAGTAATATAATGATTAATATGATTTAAAACAGCTAGAAGAACAAAGCTATTGGATGTATCTTGGTTAGAAAAGAACAGGAACTGAACACAACCTTCCAATCGAACTCCAAAAATGTGCTGTACATACGCACATTTCACATAGCTTTGGTTCAAGCCTTTTGTCCTCTCATGACAATTTCTAACCTTTTTAATCTATCCCTTTCTGAAAAATAAAAAAAATAGTTTCCTCATGGAAGATATATTAGAAACAATGGTAATATTCATGTAGCACGCGGGGATGCGACGACCTAACAAGAAAAGAAAGATATGTGAACAAGGAAAAGGAAAAGGTCTAAACTAATGATGTGCATGGCATGAAAATCCATGAGACAAAGTAAGCGAAAGGCTTAAAAAAACAAATGCATAAACTGAACTAGTCATGAAACTAAGCTGGACAGAGTCTCAAGTTACAAGAAACCATAGAAAAATAAAACAAAAGAAATGACATTTTGTTTGACATCAACTTTGCCAAGCGAAGACCAAAAGAAAAGTCATAGATGGGAACAAAGGTGAAAAACATGTCTTGACATCATGAAAACTACTCCACTTACTCAAGTCCAACATAAAAATGGTACAAATAGTAAATAGTATATGATACTACTCTGTGTCGACCTCACAGTTCGAAAATATATAACCCGAACATATATCACGTCAAATGAAATATCACATCAATCGCTCTATGTATAATTTTCATACTACATATAATATTATACATGTCGTCAAATTGGTCTTGCAATGCAACATGCGTGGCGCCCGCGCATTCAACTCAAAATCAGATGACTTCTAACCACGTATGATTATAAACACATCGTTTCATATGCCATATATATAATAACAATATAAATCAAAAATATACCATAAAAGATAAAGCTAGAATAGACTATACCATATTCTAGTATTATAAATCTGAATAATCCTCTATATAGATTTTAATATGTGTTGCATCCTATCCTGGTTATGTTTTTTATGGGACAGAGGGAGTATGTTCAAACCATATTGAGAGTATATACATTTCATATTATAAGTGTAATTTTGACCTTTTTTCCAATCAAGCTTTCATAAGTTGTTCAGGTTTATGAAAAAAAAATTAGCGACATCTAAAATACATTCTATTAGATCTAACATTGAATATATTTTAATAATATATTTTTTTTGTGTTGAAAATACTAATATGGTTTTCCTTTCCATAAACTTATTCAGTTTTAAAGAAATTTAACTATTAAAAAGTTATTGATCATTTAATTAATACTACTACGGTTTTTTTAAAAAAGAATTATAATATGAAATGGACGGAGTGCGTGTTCTCCGATGTGAATACAGGACAAATTCAGCTCTTTTCTCCCCCCACACGCTTTGGAGTCTTCTTTTTGATCGGGACGTTTTTGATTTGGGGCAAAAAGCGATGGGAATTGCAGTCGAGACCAGCTAGATATAGGTAAGCAGTATTCATGGCTGGACTAGATAGCGGCAGGCAGACGAAGGGCAGTTGTATCTTGTACTATGTAGTCCAGTACGTAACGTACTACACGAAAACGACGCGCGGTTTGTTGGCTGATTCTGCTGAGTCCTGGCGAGTGGGCCCTTCTGATGGCGACACTGATAAATGGGCCGTACGTGTCAAAAGATTAAATGGGCCGTATTATGGCTATGGCTATGGCTATGGATATGGGCTGTAAATTTTAAGGGCATTTAGCCTACCAAATAAATGGGCCCGTTACGGGCTCTAAATTTTATGAGCATTAGCCTGCGGAATAAGTTCACCGGAGGTCCCTCTACTTAACAGCGAGATTTGTTTAGACCCTTAACCACAAAACTAAAAAATCTGTACCTCTAAAGTCTAAACTCACACAAACAATGCACTCAAGGTCCTATGACACTATATATGGGTGGTTTCACCAACGTGGCATCCTAGTCAGCAAAAAAAAGTACCTGCGCCCACATGTCAGCTGCACATCTTTTTTCTTCTCTTTTCTTCTATTTCTTTTCTATCTTCTCTTCTTTATTGAGGAGGCTAGCGGCGGGTGGCAAGCGAGCGCGGCGGTGGTCGGCGGGTGGCGGGCGGAGCGACGGTGGGCGAACGTGGGATTGGAGCGGCGGCGGTCGAGCGCGGTGACGGGCAGGAGCAGCGGTGGGTGAGCGCGACAGCGAAGCGGTGGCGGCGGACCACATCTCCAAGAGCAGCAGGGGGAGGCCGACAGCGCCGCGTGGTGCACGGCCACCCCGACCGCAACCCCCGTCCTCGTTGAGCTCCTCCTCTTCGTCGACAAGCCTCCTGAAGTCGAGGTCCATCTTGGGGAGCTCCCCCATGCTCGGCCGCCACCATCGCCGTGCCCCCATGATTGGCCGACGATGCTAAGAGTGGCACCACCGGCGGGAGAACGGGAAGAGGCGGAGGAGGAGATGGTTTCTTGGTCGCCGCCTTTCTCCCTTGCGCGCAGGCCGGGAGAGCTTGAGCGAGCTCTACCGCGCTCGCCCACCGTTGCTTTGTCCGTTGCCGCGCTCGCCCATCGCTGCTCTGCCGTCGCCACGCTCGACAGCCACCGCTCCGGTCCTACGCTCGCCCATTGTCGCTTCGCCCGCCACCCGCCGACCACTGTTGCACTCGCTTGCCGCCCGCCGACTCTTCACCCGCGACTAGCCTCCCTCACTGAAGAAGAGAAGAGAAGAGAGAAAAGAGAAGAAAGAAGATGTGCAGCTGACATGTGGGGCCCACATACTTTTTTAAAAAAAAATTGCTGACTAGATGCCACGTCAGTAAAACCACCCACATATACTGTCATAAGACCTTGGATGCACGGTTTATGTAAGTTTAGGGGTACACATTTTTTGTTTTGTGGTTAAGGGACCTCAAGAAATCTCGTTCTTAAGTTAAGTGACCTCCTGTGAACTTATTCCTTATCCTGCAGATTAGCACTGAAAAGAGCCCAACATTGTCCTGACTCCTGAGATGTGCTCCCTCCATAAAAAAAAAGAATCAACGTCTTCTTCTACTGCAATGATTTTGGATCCCTTTATTCAGATTCGTTAAGGCACATTTGATTCAAACGAATGCTATAGGAATTTTAAAGGATTTTATTTCTATAAGAATTTTTTCTATATAGCCCTGAATCCTATGGAATGCCTCTTCCTATGTAAATTTTGGAGGAAATTTAACCTCATGAGTCTCTCTCCTAAAATTCATGTGTTTTTCCTGCGGCTCAATTAAACGGTAATTCCTATGTTTTTTCAATCATCTGTTTTAGACTTGTATTTTTGTCAGAATTCTATGTTTTTTCTATTCCTCCGTTTTTTCATTCCTATGATTTAAAGGGGCCCTAAGTTTTTTTTTGACAGAGAAAGTAAGGACCAATCAATAGTAAACAATTCAGGAGCACCTGCATGAAAATAAGCCATTGACCATTTTCAGGGGAAATTGAGGTATCCCTCATTTTGAATGGATGAATTTTATGATAATTTTAAAGGGAATAAACCGTTTTGTATCAAAATACTGGGATATTTCTACGCTTCAAAGGAACCTTGAAATTTTTAGGAATTTTTTAGCTGGCATTATAATAGTTTGCCATAAATGACTCAGAACTTAATTTAGGCCGTAGCTAATTAAATCGAGATATTGGTAGTCATAATTAATTAGACCACGATGCCCTCTAAATACAATTCATAATTTCATAATCATATTACTAGTATACATTGTTATTGCCAAATTCATACAGTTTCTTCACCAGTCGCATGAAACATGCTTTAAAATCTCTCTAAAAACCTATCCTAAAAAAAAACTATTATCTAAAACCATTCAAAGCACTCATAAAAAAAAATCAAAAGTTTTTAACCATGATTAGGGTGCACTCCACCCCTTCTCCTACACACAAGTCAACTGCTACTACCAAATGCCAATCCCCCATTTCCCCCTACTAGTACTACACCTGAAATTACAAGCAACATGCTAATGAAAACCCCAAAAAACCATCACTAAAACCACGCGAGGGAGGAGAGTAGGAGACGACTCCAAAATCCAAATCCAGTGGTCGCCGTCGCCGTGGTCGGTGGGTGCCGCGCGGAAACCCTAGCTTCCCCCGCGGGTGGAGGAGGAGGAGGAGGAGAGGGGGGAGATGTCGTCGTGGCTGAGGAGCGCGGTGAGCCGGGCGGGGCGGAGCGGCGTGGCCCGCGCCGTCAGGGGGTACGCCGACGCCGTCGCGCACCACGCCGGCCAGGCCGTCGCCGACATCCTCCAGGACCGCACGGTGAGCCGCCCCCTACCGCCCGCCGCCGCCGGCTTCTACACCCCCCCACCTTCCTCTCTAGGGTCAATATGGAGTCGTGATTCGTCGCAGGAGCTGCACGCCGATGTGTGATTCGCTAGTTAGGTATCGGGGAGCTTAGGGTTTTGCTCTGTCCGCGTTGCGGATTGGGGATTTGGTTGCTTCAGTCTGGGTGTCAGGGTGTGGGATGTCTCTTTGTTGTGTAGTAGAGCAGATGAATGTGTGGTTTCCATGATGTTTCAAGTTTCAACATGCCTGAGCTAGCGGCATTTTCTGTAGAGGGAGACTGTCAGATTAGGCATATGTTTGGAAATGGGCGTGTTTTTCATTTATAGGCTTGGTTTGATCTCTTTAATTTTGGATTTTGGAGTCCTGGTGAAATTTTTGTAGGGGGGCTAAGGTCCTTTTACTCCTATGAACTTGGGGGTATGTCGGTGGTGTCATATCATCTGATTGAAATTTGATGCTTTAGGATGTTAGGTGCAAGATTTTTTTTTTTGAAAATATATGTTTTTTTACCGAAATTGCAAGAATATACTGATTAGGGAAATATTTGCGCAAATATACCGCCGTCGCTCTTTAGTTTAGCGAGATCGCGATCTCGCTTAACGGATTAGCGAAGGTGATAGCGCTATCGCTAATTGAAAAAGCGGCATTGCTAATCCATCGGTATCGCACCCCCACGATGCGATACCACCGGCCATCTGACGCAAACACAGACCGAGGTGGTGGGCCCCGCGGCAAAGCGGTCTCGCTCTTTGAAATAGCGAGAGCGCACGCGGTAAAGCGAGACCGCTGCTGTGAGAAGTGGCGTGGCCCACAGTCGCTAACACTGTGCCAAATAGAAATTGAATATATATTTATATTGAATATATATTTATTGAAAATATATATAGGAGTAGAGAGATCATTCCAGAGCGATTTTTGCAAAGTTCACAGAGAATATGAATTTACAATATGTCATATTTGTATACGGCCACCAAAATAGGAACCTTTGCATATTCACAGACACGATCTTGTGACAGAAACCGTGTAGCGAGTTCACCAACTACCTAGTTTCTGCCACAAGATCGTGCCTAAGAATTTGCAACACCGAGGATATGAATCTGTAGTAGGTCATATTCACAAACGGACGCCGGAACATGAACAAAATAGTGGGTGTAAGAATCTATAAAAAAATAACCTTTGCATATTCAGACTCGGTCTTGTGACAAGAACCGTGTAGCGAGTTAACGAACTACACATAGTGAGTTCACCAACTATTTAGTTCTTGCCACAAGTCGGGTCGAAGAATATGCAACACACAGTTGGATAAAGCAGAAGGTTTATGAAGAACAGATGTAGTTGTGCGCTTCATCTCTACCCGTTTGGTTGATATTTATAGGGGTCAGAAGATAGAAAGAAGGTGTGCAACGTCTTACATGTGGGTGATAATGGGTTGTACAAAGAGACATCATGATTAATTTGGGCTCTGTAGTGACTAGAAAGAGACGAGTACACTTTCGACGCGTCTGTAGTGAATAGAAAACGACAAATAAACTTTCGGCGCGTCGCAATCAGAGAACTATTAATTGCTTCACTAGTTCACTGTTTGCTTCACTAATGATGTGGGTACGAATGAACAAAAATGTGACTATTTTAAGCTTCACTGTTGATGACTGATGGCGACACGAGTAACATGAAGCCTAAAATAGTCACATTTTTGTTCATTCGTACCTACATCATTAGTGAAGCAAACAGTGAAGCAATCAATAGTTCTCTGATTACGACGCGCCGAAAGTTTACTTGTCGTTTTCTATTCACTAGACGCGCCGAAAGTTTACTCGTCTCTTTCTAGTCACTGCAGAGCCTAAATTACACATAACTACGAAAAGTCATGAAAAAACATATATACTTTCTCCACATGAAATATCAACGGCTTAATCACACATGAAATATAAACGCAATTAGTGGATCAGTCTCGCACTCGAAGAGAGCGATATCACGCTTGGTCTCGCTATTTGGAAGCACGAGATCGACGGTGAGCCGCGCCAGCGTCAGGCGTCGCTCTCGCGGGCCCCACAACGCATGGTATTGCGCAATGCTTGCGGTGTCTCGCTTTTTGGCACAGCGATAGCGACTGTGGGCCACGCCGCTTCTCACAACAATGGTCTCGTGGATACAAAGCGTGATACCGCGCGTGCTCTCGCTGTTTCAAAGAGCGAGACCGCTTTGTTGCGGGGCCCACCACCTCGGTCTGGGTTTGCGTCAGATGACCGGCGGTATCGCATCGCGGGGGTGCGAGACCAAGCTGCTCTCGTGCTTTTGGAGTGCGGCACCAATGGATTAGCGCTGCCGCTTTTTCAATTAGTGAGAGCGTTATCGCCTTCACTAATCCATTAAGCGAGATCGCGGTCTTGCTAAACTAAAGAGCGACGGTGGTATATTTGCGCAAATATTTCCCTAATCAGTATATCCTTGCAATTTCGGTAAAAGAAACATATATTTCAAAATTTTTTCCAATCACCAGCACCAGTATTAAAAAGCTTGGTTTGGTGCAAGGGTCCAATGCTTCAGTGCTTATGAAAACATATAAAATTACTCATGCTTTGACGCATAGCCATCAGGTTGCACATTGGTTTTACTGATTTCAATCTTTATGTGCTTTCACTTTTAAGGGCTGTGCCAAGAACGGGCTCATTTTGTGGTTATGTTGTTTTGAATTTTATTTTATGCCCTCCTGTTGTATGGCTGGGAATAGTTGGTGCCTGAAGGAGATTATAAATTTTGAACTTGTAGTCGGCAGTGTAGTACAGATGGACCATTGGCATGCCCTATTTCAATGTTTTTGTAACTCATGTTTTTCCGTGTGATCTGCTGGAACTCAGGACTACAAAAGTTTTAAGAAAACAGTAGCACGCTTGGAAGAGGCAGCAGTTTCATGCCGTGGAGGCGAAAGAGTTGAACTGTTAAGACGTTGGTTGGGAGCGTTACAAGACATAGAGGCTGAACTTAGCGGATCAGATTTGAAGGATCCAGAAGATCGTGATCCTTCTAGTGAAACAGATATTTCAAAAGCACCATTGGTAAGTTTGTATGTCTCATTTTCATTTCTTTTTCTTATGTAGTCATTTTAAGATGGCATTAATTCAAAAGCCTTCTATAGTTATCTCCTTGAGATTGTTTGGTTCATGCTGATTTTAGACTGAACTGTTGGGATCAGGCTTTGTTTTATGATGCTGACATTGAAGGAGGGCCTATGAACTTCCGTGATGTATTCCTATACAGTCAAGCACTGGAGGGGATTACACTGTCCATGGTGAGTTGGTGCAACAGTTCTTTCCTGGATATGTATAATCTATTTCAGTTGACCTTTTTTTTCCTGCAGCCAGTTTGTACTTTAGTTCTTAGAATGATATTATTTGGTCATACTTGGTTTGATGCTATGCACTGCCAATCTTTTCTATAATCAGGTTCTTGAAGCTCCTTCTGAGGAAGAAGTTTCTCTTCTTTTGGAAATTTTTGGGTGAGTCTGCTTTTAAGATCACCTGCTAATATATTTTCTTTCTTTCCTTTTGTTTTTTCTAATGTTGATGGACTTTTGCCAGCTTGTAGAATTCTCTCTTTAATATTATTGTGAACACAGTAATTCAGAACTATTGCTTCCTTCAGAGACTTTGGATTTAACAATACAAGAGCCATGATGTTTTTCCTTTCCAAAAAAGAGCCATGATGTTATTTGTTGTCAGCATGATAAGCATTCCTTTCCAGCATCCATAATAGCATAATACCACATATATTTTTCTCCTATTATCCTATAAACCATCTAACATTTGTCTTGGTGAAAAAAAAACTTAGAATTGATTCTATTTTGCCCTGTGATTTTATTAGGGACTAGAAAAAATGCCCGTGCATTACAACGGGTGAAGGCTATTTTAATTTTATTATTGTTATATGGTTTAGTTAAGGTGAAATTCACTGTGAGAATTCGCTTGGATATATATTTTTTCTAGAAAATCATGAGCTGCAATTAGGAGTCCGATCATCTCAAGTTACATGCTAAGTTTTTTTTAAAGAGATTTCTTATACGACTGTTCCTGTATTTCCAAAAGCGAACGAACTTAAACCCGACTCAGATACAGATCTGTATTTCCAAAAGCGAACGAACTTAAAAACCGACTCATATACGGATGACGTACCAAAGTACCGGCAAAAACGTCTTCAATTTTTATAATAGTAGGGATTTGACAGATTCATAGTGATAGTTGTATCTGTTACTTTATTCAATCTAAGTTTGCTATTTGGTTCACCATTCAACTTTAACTTAGGTTTCCTATGCCATGTTGTTAGCTTTCCATTAACAATTATATGCACTCAATTGTTATATGTAAAATACTTATTATTATTAATCTATTGCACATTTTTCTGCCCATCATCAGTATGTGTATGTACAATTTCAGCTACTTCGACTTTCTCTGTCCTCTGTTCTCTGACCTGGATCTTTTGTAATTTACAATTGGTGCTAATCTTGTTTCCTACAGGCTGTGTCTTACTGGAGGGAAAGAAGTCAACAAGAAAATCATGGACACTGTACAAGACTTGGCCAAGGCGCTTTCAAATTACAAAGATGAAGTCCTGGTATGCTTCTGGTTGTGATTAATTTACTCCATCCAAGTTCATAATTCTTGCCTAGTTATTTATTGTTTCATTGTATCCTAGAAAATTGTAGTTTAATCGGTTTTAACTAGTCAATGGAGCTTCACTTCTGACAAGAACTTTTCTTAAGGAAAAAAAAAGCTTACTTCCTACCATTTTTTATTTTTGCAATTATTTTCTAAGATGCAGATTTCATGTATGTTTGAAGTGAAAAACTGAATTCTGATGCACACACGTTCAACCTTTTATACGATAGATGTGGCCAATGATGCATTGTATCTGTGTCAACAGGTGAAGCGTGAAGAGCTACTTGAATATACTCAGAGTGTCATTTCAGGGCTAAAGAGGAATGCTGACATTATGAGGTGATAATTGACCCGCTTATGAGACTCGTATACCATTTTTGTTAAGTGTTCTTTAACCTTTTGCTCCTACAATCTGTAAATTGTTTTCAATCATGAGGGTTTTAGCTTGTGCATGTGGCTTAAAACTCTGAAAACTGTGTTCCCTTTTCCTCTCTCTTACAACTCACACCTCATGTAACAAATGAAAGTTTTCACCGAACTTTGAAAATTTAGAATATTGTGTATCAATATTAGAATTTTTTTTCCTTGCAATTCTTATGAAACCAAGGCTTCCAAATACTCTTAAAGAGGCATTTGGTGCTTGCTTCTCGCTATATTAGCTTCTTAATTTCAAGCTAGTACATGATTTCAGGATAGATGCTGAAACCCTCGAGTTGTGGAAAAAGCTAGATGAGAAGGAGAAATCACGAGCCCAGATAACTGAAGATCAAGATAAATCGTCAGGGAATATTTCTGTTGAAAACATTGAGGTATTACCTAATTATATATAGTATGGATTTACTTTCTTGTTTCTTTTGTTAGAGTTTATTGAACAGTGCTCAGTAGCTAAATGTTCAAAGCAGTTCAATGATCAATGCTATATGGCTTTGGAATTAATTTTGCATTGGTGAAATTGTTTGCTTTTTGAATGCTTACTTTCCAAATGCAGATATTTCACAGAAGTCTCTAGTTCAGTTTGACTCCATAGATTTTTTGGCTGTATGATACACCCTCTATCCAAACATGTAATTGGTTTGGATGTTGTCATGGTCTCCCATATGTGTGTCCACTCATCATTTTTTTTAATAGAAATATGTTGGAACATTAAACAAAATGAAATGTAGATCATGAGAAAAACATTGCCTTTATTTCAGATCAATTTATATAAACTCCATTGGTAGTGAAACTTTGAAAATGTTGAGTGTTGACCACACATGTTCTAAAACATCACATAATTTTTTAAATGAATGCATTCCAATCTGGCAACATAGTCACCAGAAAAGTCCTAGAAATAATTCGATGTGATTATGAACATTTGTACTATTTCCTCCATTACTTTACATGTATTGTGCATCTATTTACTACTTTCAAGTGCTTGTTAATCTGTTTTGTCTGTTCTAGTATGTTGTTTTCAAGGTTCTTAAAGAAGATACTTGCATGTCTGCCAGGGTTTAAAAGAAGCACTTATTGAAGTCCGTTTGTGCTCTAGAGTGGAAGAACTTGTACTGAAGAAGAAGTCAATATCACCTGGAGACTCTCTGGAGATCCATTCTCAGAAGGCAGGCTTATGTCTTACTCTTCTTTTTATAAGTTTTTGAGTTTTGAAGTTGAGATGCAATCCTTTACATTCCTTAAATTGCTCATCTGGTAACCCATTAGAATGCAGTCTAGGTTGGCAATATGCTTTTCTTGGTTATACTGGTTCTACTTTTCAGGATCAATTCAGCAGGCTTTTAGAAAACACCAATAGAAGTTTAATTATGAGAAAGTTTGTAGTAAGTAGGACTTGTGTGGCTCAAAACGCTGTACTGCTTATCTTTTGGTAGTCAGTAGTCACCATGTAAGCACAACAGTTTTACTTCAAGTCATTATGTCAATAACTTCTCTTGTCCTGCAAGTATGTGGTGTATGGATTGTAACAATGTCACAGCATCTTGCAGATTGATAAATTAAAGATCTTGGCAGATTCCCTTGCGAATTCATCCTCCAAGGCAGAGCAGCGTATTTTGGAGAACAGGTTTTATTTCTGAAATTGTTTTTCCTGTACGAAAGATGTTATTCTATTATCCATAACTCATTTGTCAACACTCAATAGTATGTAATATAGATTTTTGCTCCAGTTCTACATGAAAAATCCTTGCTCAATGATGTGTATATCATTCTTTTTCTTTGAATACTTAGTTTATACTTGATATCTAATTTGCTCTGAACTGCCATGTTTTTTTGCAAGCGACTCCTGGGGTATTTAAACAGTTGATTATTTGATAGTCAAAACCGGCACTTCAGAAATTATAGTTGTAGGGTTGTACTTAACTAGCAATGTATTGATTTACTGATTATTTAAGTTCTATGTTCCATTTTGTTTTCACTGTCAGGAAGTTTTATCTTTGTGTTGCTTCCTTTTCTTTTGGCATATTAATTTTCTAGACTCATTTTCTTTGTATGTTTCAAATCGTATTACCAGCAAATATAGGTGAGATTTTAATTTGGCTTTTATACCAGGCGCCAGAAAGAAGATGCTCTGAACTTCCGTGTTAAGAAGGAGAATGAAGTGAGCACAGTTGAGAAGGTACAACTGCTAGCCTGTTGTATATGTGGAATGCCTTGTTGAACTTATAAATTTAATTAAAAAAATAATCAAAATGTTTGTCCCACTTGGAGCACAGGGCTCTCATAGGAATTCATGGGGGATTTCCATAGTGAAAGTGGATCTTTTGCTTTTCTGCAAAATCCCTATAGAATTCCTGCACAGCATAGAATTCATGGATGCCAAGCACGCCACATTCGCCATTTCCCTTCCGCTATTTACCTGTCAATATGTCCAATGCATGTGCTTGTCCAGCTATATCTGTAGCTTCTTATCCTTGAACATGCCATACGGAGGTGATTAGTGGTTACATGGTTAACATGGTGTCCAGGAACACATTTCTACTGTACTATGTTAATATTTTGTTCACATCATTCGATGTATTACATACATATGGTACGGAATGAATATGTTTTTAGGCTTCTACTCTGCTTATTTTGCTATTTATTTAATCCTTATCTTATCTTTTCCTTTTATATCCTGATGTAGGAGGTGCTTGATGAGATTGCTGAATTGGAGAAGCAGAGAGATGAACTTGAGGCTCAGCTGAAAAAGGTACCTTTTCCTTGACGTTAGATTCCCAGAAGCTATGTTGTGATTTATCTCCATTGTAGTTTTTAATCTTGCATGCACCGAATTTGGATTACCTAATCTTATATTCTCAATGGAGAACCACAGAATTCAGTCACATTGTGGTGTGGTAGGGAAGTTGTTTAACTAACTTACATATTAATCTTATTAATATGGTTCATTAGTAAAGCTTGAACTGTAAATGGTGCCTTGAAAAGGTTTCTCTCAATATGGAAATTGCTATACAAGACCTGGCATATCCTATTGGTGACAGAGACACAAAATCTCTTAGTATGATCAAAATGGTTCATTTGGTTTTGGACATCGATCTGATCGTTATCATCCTATTATCTGAGTGAACAGATCCAACAAAGAGAATTGAAAAAAAGAAAATAAAAATTCTCTGCAAGACAAAGAAGTCTGGGAGGGGAAGCTTTGTTAGACCATAGAGATTCTCTTAAATAGATAATAGAAATTTGAAGCTGAATTAAAATAAACCTCTGCAAGATTCTCACTGAAAGAAAGTACTATCCTAGACTGTAGGAATGTTGTCAAACAGGAGGTTGAATTATTATCCACCAATAAGCATTAAACCCTCTAGTCTAGAAAAAAAGATTAACCATCTGGACACCTCATACTATGTTCTATTTGAATTTAGAATACCGTTTTCACGACAGTTGTTTGAATTATGTTCTTTTTATAAAAAGTATTTCTCAACTGCAGGTCAATATATCACTAAATGCTGCTGCTGGACGCCTCAAGAAAACCAGGGAAGAGAGGGACCAATTTGATGAAGCAAACAATCAAATTATATTTAAATTAAAAACAAAGGTGCTTTTCCCATCATACTTCTGAAGAACTTGTTTATTCCCATATGTTTGTTACTCAAAATGACTTGTTTTTCTTTCCATATCAACTTAGGAGGACGACCTCTCAAAATCTATCGCGTCATGTAATGTGGAAGCCAATGTAGTCAAGACCTGGATCAATTTCCTCGAGGATACCTGGCAGCTCCAGTCAACATATAATGAACAGAAGGAAAAGAAAACATGGTACTTACGCTCGCAACTGTGGCTATACAGTCCTCTGATTGCTTATTTTATTTGTAGTTTTCCTTCCATTTGAAAGAGGCTAGAGAACTGCTACACTATCCAATCTAGTGAACTTAGGTGCTGACCTGTTTTATCCTTTTGTAATTTGTCGTGACCTTCTCAGTGATGAGTTGGAGAGATGTGTGAGTAGTTTTCTGAAGTTGACCAAACATCACCTTTCAGTCTTCAAGGTAAGTCATTCTTGTCTACTGTAGTACCACACACGTCTCTATTTCATTGTGTCTCATCTGTGAATTTTGTATATACCAGGAGGTCCTAAGCCCGTCAATTGAGAGTATCCGAACATATGTGGATAACTTGGTGGTCTTGAACTCAAGGTACTTCAGTTTCTCTCTCTTATTCAAGGTACCTATTATGTCATATTGTCTTAATAGATAAGGGTTGGATTTGTCTTATAGGGAAGAGACAAAACAAGATGAAGATGATGAAGCATCCGAGAAGACAAACCCACGAATAAGCCTTGAAGAGGAATATTTGGAAACTGAAAAGAAGGTTCCTACTCTGCCACTTAAGAAGCGTAATCTTATATTCAAGCGCAATATTTATTTTACCAGTTGATTTCCTATGCATGCTTTCGTATTTATCTTGAAATGGTACTATTGAACATACTTGCAGTGGTCTCCAAACTGATGCAGTCATTTGTCCAATAAATTATTACATATGTTCTCTAGTTTGACACATATTCTCTAGTTTGACACATATTCTCTAGTTTGACACATATGTTCTCTAGTTTGACAGCTGTTAAGCCTGCTTGGTTTCATATGTAATTAGCTGATGACGGTGGCAATATTTTCAGATCATAATTGCTTTAAGCATTGCTGATCACATAAAGAAGTTATTTTACTCTGAGCAATGGGCTAATTCTAGGTACTGTGGGCTGCTCTCTCCTTGATAAATTATTTTCAAATTTACATCCACGCAATCGTGCTCCTCTGAAATCTGAACACTGAACTTCTATATATTCAGGAGAGATGATCCAGAGGTCAAGAACCTAATTGCCGAGATCGAGAAATTGAGGGGAGAATTTGAATCTATAGAAAGGCCAATGCTAAGCATAGAAGCTAATAAATCAAAGCCACTACCTGAGGAGAGATCTGAATTGAGCCCTTCACCAATCCAGGCACCCGCTACGCCTAAGGCTGCACACGTCGACTCTCCAAAATCTCCCATGAAGCCCGAGCAGCATCTGAATCCTGACAATGAGCTCGCAAACCTGGGAGCAGAACTTGGATCGGAGGACAGAGATTTTTCAGGTGAGGAGATTAACGGGTGGGAGTTCGATGAGCTCGAAGAGGACCTGAAAAACTGACATAGCTGGGATCAAAGCAACAAAAATAGCAACATGTTCATGTACGCCCCCCAGTTCTGTTTGATGTACATATGACAACTTCGTTCATTTGTATTGTCGATATTTCAGGACATGCAGATTGAACTTTCTAAGTCTTTTAACCTTGGCAAGGCATTTGCTATTTGTTTGTCTTGCCATGAGATGTTGCATCATTACATGTACACTTGAATACAGATTTTACTGAATACTGTTGTAACATTTGCAAAGACAGACAATAAATGTTTTCACCGACGGTCGATCAGTTTGCAATTTTGGATTCATTGGGTTGAGACCTGACCATATAACTAGATAAGTATAGTAATCTTGAATGGGCTTAAGATGCCTTATGATTTGTAGTAGTAGAATATTTCAAGGTTGAGATTCTGACTAACGGTGTGTAATCGATTGAAAAACTGAAAAAAGAATCACACACAATTAGTACCCCGGGAGCAAATGGGTGATATGAGTTTCATGCTTTATTATTGTACTGTGACCTCTATTTTCTTTAAGAAAAATAAACAAAGGATAAAGAGTCTCTCTCTCTCTCTCTCCCCCCGTATCATTCTACCAATTTTAACAGAATATAATTCGTACAAACAAAAAAAGAAAAGATAATAGGGGCTCTATCTACGTCTCATTCTGCCAGTTTAACAGACGTAATTTGTAAACAGAAAAAGAATTAAAACTAAAATGGAAAAGACAGCTATAGTTCGTAATAAGAAAAAGGTATCTACGTCTCATTCTGAGCTAAATTCGTAAAAAGAAAAGGAATTAAAAATTCTGCAAGTTCAACAGCTTAATTCGCAAGAAGAAACGAAATTAAAACTAAAATGTAGAAAACATTCGACCACAGTGGGAGTCGAACCCACGACCTTCTGATCCGAAGTCAGACGCGCTAATCCACTGCGCTATGCGGTCTTTGACGTGCTTTACTCGTCATTATCTTATATGACGAACTAAATATTACCCACTCATGTTAAAATTAAAGAAGTTGAGTAGCTGTGATGTTAAATTTAAGAGAGTAGTGCCCTTGTTAATGTCTTTCATCGGAATTAAGGAGTACTACATACTCCCTCCATCTACTTTTGATAGTCATATTTTATCTTGGCACACAGATCAACGATAAGTGATTCTACTTATCATTCATTTGAACATTCTACTGGTCATTCCTCATAAACAAACGATCCATTAATATTTACATTTCTCGATACCCATATAGCCAATCTTGTGTGGAAGAATAGAGAGTCACGTATTAAATTCAAGAAAGTCATTAAGATGTTAAGTTGTTGGATTGAAATATGCCTATCAAAAATAAATTTTTAGATTTAAAAATATGACTATCAAAAGTAGACGAGGGAGTACCAACTTGCTGTTCATTTCTATATTGATCCAAAATCGAATAGAGATCATGAATAATAATAATAATAATAATAATAATAATAATAATAATAATAATAATAATAATAATAATAATAATAATAATAATAATAAAGGGGGAGAGAGAGAGAGATTAGTTTGCATGCATGGGTGCCTTGTACTGAAATAAATTTGTGAACGTTGCATTACTTGTTACAATGACCTACTCCCTCCGTTCCAAAAAAAGACAAACTCTGGGTTTCCGTGTTCAATTTTGATCGTCCGTCTTATATGAAATTTTTTTATAATTCGTATTTTTATTGTTGTTAGATAATAAAACATGATTAATATTTTATGCGTGACTTGTCTTTTTAATTTTTTTAAATAAGACGAACGGTCAAACGTTAGGCACGGAAACCAGGGTTTATCTTTTTTTTTTTTACGGAGGGAGTACGAAGTAGTGTCGTACAGATGAAGAGAAACATCAACAGGATCTATTTTATTCATCATATATGAAACGAAATGCTGCCTCCAGATACCTTAAGCTTAAGCTTGTACAATATTCACCGGGCTAACCCTTTGACCCTAATTTCAAATCACAAAAAACATTGTTAACATGACGTCCTAAAAAAATGGGTGCATATGTGATAGGACAGCCAAACGGCATATCATCTAAATAAATTGAATCAATGTTAATGCCTAATGTTGACACTCGTATTTCCCAACAACCAATTCATTGATCTTATCCAGTTTCATTTCCACCTCACTTTATGATTAGGCTGATCAATCTTTTGCACAAATTAACAACCAGGAGGTACATATGCATGTGTACGGTGCATACGGCACGCCTCACAGTAGTTATGTTGACTAAATCATTGCTGATCATTATCTTAAAAAAATCATTGCTGATAGGAAATTATTATTGGGGCTTTTAACTATTTGCCACTCTTACGAGTGGTGCTTAATGATTTGCCACTAGACCCATATGTCATAGACACATGAGGGCCCATATGTCATAGACACGGTGTGGCAAATCGTTAAATTTCCCATTATTATTATTAGGTGTTGCGGCTGGAGTTTCACAGCAACTTACTGCACTTATCTCCATTAGCATCATGCTTAATTAGGTCACATCTGGAACTCATAACTTCGACAGAAAGCAAACCAATTATTCATGAATCTAAGAAAATCCCCATATTCCAGTCATGGCCTAGTAGTCTGGTTACAGTCTTGAACTAACATACTATTTGTTATTATCGGGAAAAAAAATCATAGAGTCAAGAAATGAGAATATGTGGTATTCAGCTGCGTTACATAAAGTTTTCATGTGTTCTATATCCTAAATACTATGCTCTGGCTTTGTTTCAGTCATTGCTCTTCGTTTAGTTTTCTACTCGTTCATGTCATTTCTACATAAGTATTTTTTTTGTTTAAGTAGCAATCCAACAGACAGTTAATATAACATTGCTAACTTAGCTCAATATTTTTCTGAAGAAAAATAGGACAGCATCACGGCCCTTGAGGGTTCTGTTTTCCCTCCTGTACTTCTATCGTTTAATATGTTCAAGTTGAAGAAGAAACCTCGGAAAAAAATTCTACAAGACGGTGACAACTAGGAGAATGGTTGAACTTACTGAATTTCCCCATATTTAAGCTACAACCGATTCATCTATTTTTGAAATGTAACTACATAAAAGTGGACCAGCGGGGCTTCTTGTTAATTACTATTATTGAGCATCTGTCTGACAGAGTATCATTTTCCATTGTTCCTGTACATAATTTATTTTAGAAGCAAGACCAGCCTCCTAGTCTTCATATATGTTTTATATTAATTAAAGAATGGATAAAATAAAATGTGGAACATAAGTTTGTTTATGAGTTTACAGGTATCAGGCACGTTACCTGTTCTCTATCTGAAAATGTCAGTTCATGGAAGGTACAACTTCATGCATTTCCGCTCTCCAAGCTTGAGCGATAATCTGCTCAGTTCAAGAATACATTAGATCTAAATAAATATTTTTGCTAGACTTAGTTCTTGATTAAGTTGATCTAAACTATACATAATTGCAGAGTGAGGTCTAAAGTTTGACCATTCACAAAATAATCTGCCCTCCCACAGGCAAGCTATGTCATCGGTTATTTAACATAATTTACTTTACTGTGATGTGGATAAAACATACTTTAATCTTGTAGAGCTATTGATGCTAAGAACAAATTCAGTAAATCATGGCTAAATTATACCTTCCCGATTGTGCATTCGTGCCATAGAACTTCACTGAAATATAATAGTTCTACATATATTTTTAGGACACATTCGAATACATAAAGATGAAACTACTAAGTACCAGTTAATGACTTTGTTTCAAAATCTATAGGTTCATTCAACCAGACAAACCAATATATGTAGCTTAACCAAGGTGACGGCATGAGATGACTAACCAGCTCGAAGAAGGTTACATGCTAACTACAAATGATTCATGAACCTACATATCTATCATAGTCTCTAGTTAGGCCCTGAACCTAGCAAATAATTAGATTGAACAAATATTTCGAACCTGCATGACCATAAACTCAGGTAGGAAGTCAATTAAGCAAGCAAGAAAGAGACTTGCACAACTTGCACAGATAATAAAATCAATCCATTACAGATGTGTACTGCATGCATAGTCAATAATCAGTAGTGCATCCCCGCAAAAAAAACAAAATAATCAGTAGTACATAACAACCCATGACAAGCACTGTTTATTTTGTCCTACCCAGAGATTAAACAAAAGTTGACGGTTTAGATCAAGCCGTGGTAGCAAGAACAACAGGCATATATCGGGAGGGGATTCTAATCCCTCGAGGAGATATCCCCTCGTATATCTTTTTATTCCAAATTCGATGTAAATAGTTGTGAAAAATTATAAAAAATTGATAATGTAAAGAATAATGATACCTACTAGTCCACCAAAATTCAAGTTTAAATTCGATCTACACATCGAGAAACAAAAAAGATAAATTTAGATATAAATAGTACGCTACTATTCATACGCTGAATTTCTCTTTTTTATATCTCGACGTGTGAGTTGAGTTTGGACTTAAGATTTTGTGGAGTTATATATATCTGTTGTACAAATGTTGTCAAATTTTTTCAGAATTTTTCATAACCGTTTAAATGGTTTGGAACATCCCCTTAAAGAACTAGAATAGTTTCCCGCATATATCATATTGAACACACTCGAATACATATGTGATGCGTATCTTTCGTATAATCACTAAATAAACTTACCCATTCTTCCATTAGCAGAATATCCAGTATGTTCGTTTCTTATTAATGCTTGATCCAAATAACACGCATATCGAAGCATGGGGCATCCACGCAACTGCTGTGAATTCGGCCGGCCAATGCATACGACAAAATGGTCGCTTACTCTGACGAAATTGCCCTTCCATTTCCTGCAGACAAGGAAGCAGACGATCTACTCTTGCTGCTATAAAAACCCCGAGAATGCCAAAGAAAAAAGGTGTCTACGTCGACGGCAGCTTACTTTGAGAGCCTTGGTAGGATGAGCTCCGCGGCCATGAAGCTCGCCGTGGTGGCCGCGCTCATCTCGGCCGCCGCCGTGGGCGCCCGCGCCTGCCTCGACGTCGGCTTCTACGACACGACGTGCCCGACGGCGGAGACGCTCATACAGCAGGTCGTCGCCGCCGCCTTCCGCAACGACTCCGGCGTCGCGCCGGCCATGATCCGCATGCATTTCCACGACTGCTTCGTCAGGGTAAGTACTAAAGCACCATTATTAGAGAAATCATTTTTTGTTCGTTACTCAAAATCTACAATAATCTTGGTTTAAATAGGAACCGGTCTAAGTTAAAACACCATACGGCACTTTTTAAAACGAAAGATTATTTTTAATCCCGATTTAAAAGAAGGCAAGCTATGTCAGACCCCTCCACTCTTCTTTTGCTTCATGGATTTATGTGCCAAGTGCCAACTCATCGTCGTCTTCGTCCATGGCGGCGCGGTGATGATGCGTGCAGGGCTGCGACGGCTCGGTGCTGATCGACACCGTGCCGGGGTCGACGACGAGGGCGGAGAAGGACGCCGCGCCAAACAACCCGAGCCTCCGGTTCTTCGACGTGATCGACCGCGCCAAGTCGGCCGTCGAGGCGGCGTGCCCGGGCGTCGTCTCCTGCGCCGACGTCGTCGCCTTCATGGCGCGGGACGGCGTCGTGCTGTCCGGCGGCCTCGGCTACCAGGTGCCCGCGGGGCGGCGCGACGGCCGGACCTCCCTCGAGGACGACGCGCTCAACTTCCTGCCGCCGCCAACGTCCACCGCCGCCGACCTCGTCGCCAACTTCACCGCCAAGAACCTCACCGCCGAGGACATGGTCGTCCTCTCCGGCGCCCACACCATCGGCGTCTCCCACTGCGACTCCTTCACCAATCGCATCTACAACTTCCCCAACACAACCGATGGAGTAAAATCTTCTTTAACCAACAACTCATCAAAGAAATGAAAAAACTGAAGAACATATGCAGAAGTGGATTTTCGTCCCTTTGGTGACATCCTCTCATTTTGTGCATGTCGTTTAAAAAATTATAAAAAAATTTAAAAAATTTGTGAAGATAGATCAATATGTGATATATCTTTTTACAAATATACGAGTTAAAATTCAATTTATACAATTTAAAATAAAAATAATAAATTTGACCATGAATTACACGTTCAATTCATAGTCAAATTTGTTATTTTTGTTTCTATTTGTATAAATTGAATTTGAATTTGCATGTTTATGAAGTGACATATCACATATTAATCAATCCTACTAAATTTTTTAAATTTTTTTGATGACTTTTAAGTGACATGTAAAAAATGAGAGAGGATATCCCCTTACGGGATGTTTTGAGTTTTCCAGCATTTGAGTTCATCATTAGTCGTCTGACCTGTGTGATTATTTCGTGCGCAGATTGATCCGTCGTTGAGCAAGGCGTACGCGTTCTTGCTGAAGGGCATCTGTCCGCCGAACAGCAACCAGACGTTCCCGACGACGACCACCTTCATGGACATCCTGACGCCGACCAAGTTCGACAACAGGTACTACGTCGGGCTGACAAACAACCTCGGCCTCTTCCAGTCGGACGCGGCGCTGCTGACGGACGCCGCGCTCAAGGCCACGGTGAACTCCTTCGTGCGCAGCGAGGCGACGTTCCGGCTCAAGTTCGCCAGGGCCATGATCAAGATGGGGCAGATCGGCGTGCTGTCCGGGACGCAGGGCGAGATCAGGCTCAACTGCAGGGTCGTCAACCCTGTCAATGTCACTGCTACTGCAGCTGATGATCACCACCTTACTTCCTCTTCCTCCTCTTCTTCAGATGAAGTGGCTGCAAGCTAATTAATTAACTGATTACCACTGCTTGTTAGTAGGTGTGCATGCACAGACAGTGATTGAGATGTGTGTGAAGTTCAGTGTGATGAGATGATTAGATGCTTCAATTGTTTGTTGCAGTTACAGTGATTGAGAGACATCAGATCTTGTTTACCTGATGTAGGTGTTGGTGGTTGATACTGTCACCATCTTGTGCTTGTCAGTCTGAAAAATAAATTGTTGCATCCAGCATGCACTGGTGTCAGATGTTGTTCTTGGGGCCTGTTCATATTGTTAACCTTGCACATAAGATTGGCAAATAAAAATGGCTATTGATCAGCATTTACTCATAACAAAAGAGCTACAACTCGTTTTACCAAACCTTTGCATGCTTGCATGCGTGTACAGACAGCAGAGTGTGATGTTTAGTGTGATGAGCTGACAAGATGCTTCAATTGCTTGTTACCGTGCAATGATCGAGAGGCATCAGATCTTGTTCTCATGTTCTGTGTTACCTGATCATGTATATGGTGGTGCTTGATACTGTCACCATCTTGTGTCTGTTTAGTCTGAAAAATAGAGCTGCATGGTCCAGCATATGCATTGGTGCCAAATGTTCTTGGTATCCAGGCCTGTTCATATTGCGAACACATATGATTAGCAAAGAAAAAAAAGGCTATTGATCAGCATTTATTCATAAAAAAAGAGCTACAAATTGTTTCTCAAAATCTTTGCTACATGCCTTTGTCAGTGAAATATTAAGGGTCTTGGAAAAAGAAGGGTTCCCATGCAAAGCATATTCTTGTTATCCAAGTCTGTCCCGCAGCTTATGGCGATAAACATGGCATTAGGAACAAGTGTATGTTTAATATAATCATCGTACATTAAAAGTCTCTGTTAGACTAAGGTCGCCCAATCATGGTTGAGACGAGTCTCAGTGTCTCACCAACCCTTACTTTGTTTAATCCAGTTGACTCGGGCTACTAATACTAATACCAATACTCGACACTGCAACTAGACCTTCATATGATCCAATCCAACTACTCGTTATTAAGTATTGATCCAATAATCGACCTATCAGAGTACTGTACGTCTCAAGATATTTCAGTATTTAAGAACCATTTTGCTAACTTGGGGGTTTGGAGTTGTACCACTAGCACAAACGGATTCTATGTTTTTGACAACAAAATGTTTTTTTTTACTTTTCATATAAATATAGTCCTTCCTATACTCCAGTTGATTTTAATCTTTACAAGTTATTTATTTAGGTGTAATAAGGTGTCTCCTTTTGGAGGTTAACCTTTATGAAAGCTAATTGAACTACTATGTAAAATTGTAAAATGTTTCCACATCTTAATTCTTACATGGAAATACAGCTTAATAACAATGAAACAATCGATGAATTTCGCATTGATTTCCTTTATTATGCTGTTAGTCACTGCCACGTCAGCCTTCATTTATTAGAAAGTCCTTATGCTTACATGTTAAGAAAATGCAATAACAGTTAAAACTGCGACAGATGGTCAAACAAGCATCTTCGAGTTCATATGACTAACCCTTTGTTTGCTTCTCATCAGTAATGTGTAATGATAGCATAAGTGGTTTGGTAGCCTCAGGTTAAGTTTTTAAACCAGTAGTCCAATTGCAACGGAACAATCAATGAACATGGATAACAAAATTTAAGTCAACTATAGCGCAACGTAGTTTTTTTTTTTTGACAGCAAACACAAAGTAGTTCTTCAGTTCCTATCAAAAGATTCTGGATTGAATAACTTTGCTTTTTGTTAGTTATTGTCACTACCAAAGGTAAAACAGAATGATGTCAACACCGATGATGCCTGCTTAAGGTTATCTTGTTTGTTGTTCAGGAATTAAATAAACAAACATTTCATTCATGATCTTGGAAAATTTATTTCTCCTCTTGTGATTGAAAGGGTCCTTTTCCTTTTATTTACTGTTCCTTGCCCCATATGCTTACTTTCTCCACAAGCCTTACTGATGGATAAGGTTTATAATGTTCTTTGTGCAGTACCCAACAAGAAAATTTTGCTCTACAGGTAAGTATGTTATTCGCAACTTTCAGTGCTTCCCCTTTTCTGCCTTACCTCTGACATTTACTGTGGTATATAAAGATTTAAAACAGTTGAAATATGAAAGAAACATCAAGTATAACTGGATGGATCCAACTAAAACACATGCAGAATCAGAGGTGAAAAATCATACCTTACAAAAAGTGGAGATGTGAATTTTATCTATTTAGCATTGATCATCACAGCATCAGCACACTAACTGCATGAAGGATTGTATGACTTGAGGACTACACGAAGTTTGTTCTTCTTTGCTGCATCTGGGCTTGGGGGGGATGACTGATAAGAACAGAATTTTGCTTGAGCTTTTCCTCTTCAGCAGTACACAATAATTTTCCTACCAATCTTGGCTTCTGCAAATTTTATAGAGACTAGAGAAACAGCAACATTTACATTCATCGGAGTAGCTGAATTATGGCCGTATGCCGAATGTGGCTTGAGCCAGTGATTAGGTGCTGATTTCCAGCATCATAGCACAGAGTTTTGATCAAACATGATCGTGCTGCAAGTTGCAAGACACATCCACTAAGGTGTCATTAATAATAATACCTAGCTTGCAAGTAGTTCTTGCAACCTTGTTCCATTGGTATAGCTTGCCATGACCCATGGCGCCACTAGCTTCCTGGCTTTAGCCATGCCATCAACATGAAAAAAATTAGGTCCTCACTCATTAGGAAAGAAGTCATCTCCCTCCAAGCCATTGAAGACAGACAGGGCCCAGATTACTGACATGCCAAAGGCCTGCAATAAGAACACTGCAAGAGACTGCAGAATGCTGATGGCACTCACTCCACATCGTCTGATCGTCCATCCACTCCCATTTCCACATTGAAGACGATCTATCATTTGCTGAATTGGTCACACCGTCCTCTGAAAACCAATAAATAATCGCAGCTGAACAAGGCCTGAACTCTGCGACTGTGCGGATCACACGAAAAAGAGCAATCATACACCGCCTGCAAACACAGTGTTACCTTGGCCAGTGAGGCAGTGATCACTTCGCCCATCAGCCAACCTTCTTCCAAGGCATGGATCATCCAACGTCCGTTTGCATTTCTCAGCGAGCCCCGGAGGTGGCATGACATCGCTGACTCACCGTGTTACCATTTCGTCGAGCACCTCGCGTGCGACGCCACGCCCGCTCCGCCGGTCCGCAGGTTGCACTCGTAGCTAGCAGCATGCGAGCACGCCGCGCTATCCGCGGCCTTCCTCCTCCTGCTGCACCGTCACCGAATTTTCCCACAGAAGCGCGCGCCGCGCGTGCACCCGAACCAACGCCGTGTCTCTTCGCCAGCACCGTAGCTCCTCCTGACCGCCCCCCGCGCCGCTCCCTGCAGGAGCATCTCCCACCTCCGTGCTACTCCCTCCGTTTCACGCTGTAAGTCATTTTAGCATTTTCCATATTTATAGTGATGTTAATGAATCTAGACATATATATATCTATATAGATTCATTAATATTAATATGAATATAGAAAATGCTAGAATGACTTACACAGTAAAATAGAGGAAGTAGGTAGGAAGCGGAAGCGGAGGAGGAGCAGCCTGGGGAGAGGTGGAGGCAGCATTCGTCGAAGGAATAAGTTCACCGGAGGTCCCTAACTTAACAGTAGATTTTTTTTTAGGTTCTTTAACCACAAAATTAGAAATGTGTATCCGTAAATTCACACAAGCCGTGCACTTAAGGTTCTATGCTAGTATATAGGGGTGGTTTTGCTGACGTGACATCCTAGTCAGCCAAAAAAAAATTAAAAAAAAGTATGTGAGGCCCACATGTCAGCTGCATATTTTTTCTTCTCGTTCTCTTCTCTTCTTCAGGGAGGCCGGTGGCGGGCAGAGCAACGGATGGAGGAATGGCGGCCGGAGTGCGGCGTCGCCTCGAGCGCCGCGACATGAAGAAGGAAGGGGAGGCGGCCGGCAGGAGATGGAGGAGAGGAGAGGAGCGAAGACGAGGACGGCGCGGCGACGGGGGACAGGGGGGGGGGGCACAACGTGGCGACGGGGACGACAAGGTGATGCGAAGAGCTCCCCAATTTTCAGTAGTTCCAACATCTATGAAACCAAAAGCAATGGGATACATCCAATTACGACCATCTATGGATGTGGCAGATGTTAAATGTCCATTCCATCTACCACTAAGTGCAGTTGAATCTATACTCCGTATTTTCTACATCCAGTTATAAACCCAGAAATGTAAGGACTTAATGCAAAAAAAACGATGAAAATATACCTTGCCATCAACCTCCTTAGTGTCAATCTCAATAACACTACTAGGGGACCTTTCCATGACTGCAGCTAGGGGTGGAAAAAAAGCTTAGGCTCGTGAGCTCAGCTCGGCTCGGCTTGAATGCCAAACGAGCCAAGCCCAAGCCTCCTTTTCCGCTCGTTCCTGAAACGAGCCGAGCCCGAGCTAGCTCGCGAGCCGCTTGATTTGGCTCGTGAGCCTAGGCCATCATGTATTTATATGGATGATTTTATTTTCTAGTGGAGTTATTATTTGTCAATATGTAATTTATTATCTATATTCTGATGAAATTAATATATAAAATTTTAATTTTACATGTTGATGATTTGTTATTGTTTTTCTTAATGATTACAAATTCTATAGCTTCAACGGAAGGCTCGCAAGCCAGCTCGAGTTGGCTCGAGCCAGGAAACGAGCCGAGCCGAGCTCATGTTTTAGCTCGTTTCCCAAACCGAGCCAAGCCAAGCCCAGCCTAGCTTGTTGCGAGCCATTGCAAGCAGAGCCGAGCCTGGCTTGGCTCGGCTCGTTTCCAGCCCTAACTGCAGCCCTCCACCTATATAACAACTGAAAACTCTCTTCCCATCCGCCATGCAATTCAATCATAGTCAATTTTCTCCCCCTAGCCACAATATCATATTTATTTGTGCATTTGTTGTCCTCCTGCAACTTGATTTGCAGTTCTTTAGGCCTCATATCTGAATCCTTCCTTAAAAAAATGGATAGCCTTGGAAGCAACCCAAGCACTTGTTGGTGTGGTAGTTTTCCTTCTGCCACTGGATGTACAAGTGTGCTTGTTGGTAAACACTGTTACTTGCATTTTAGACGTGACGTCTGTTAATAGCCGTGTAAATTATTAGTTTTCTACATGATATTAGTAAACTGAAAATTATGTATTAGTAATGAAAATTATTGGTAAACTGCATGACTGAAAATTATGTTAATATTCGTGGAAATTATTAGTTCAATAATACTACAAGATATGGATATATCTCATAAAGCATAAACAGAGTTGAATAAATATATTCAAGCAAATGCAAGGGCCTATGCGTTAAAAAACGTGGCAGTCTACCGGACTGATCTTAACCGTGTAAGCTCGATCCTGCGGTTGTCAATCACCACGTTTTTTTTTTCTAGGAACACGAATTCAATTTTCTTTTAGGATTTAGTTTGCTGCGTAGCCAAACAGCTTACTAGCAACTACTCCCTCCGTAAAAAAAAAAAAACTCAATTCTAAGTATGAACCTGGACATGTGATTAAGATTTTTCTTTTGGCACAGATGGAGTAAAATATATTTGTGAGAAAACATTGATACCTTAAAAATCAACTCCAAAAAACTGCAATAAGAAAAGCAACTTAAATTAATTTTTTTTGGGAGGAGACTTCAATTAAATTTTAACTCAGCTGATAAGCTGAAATGTAAAGGATGGAGCTGAATTCATTTCCTTTTCTTACGATACATCAGCACTGATTTTCAAGACATTTGCATTTAAACTTCACGTCCAAATTGCAATCTGACCACTTGCCAAAAAACAAGTACAACACACGTGGATTTGTGCGCATTTCACGGTGCAAATGTGAAAATGACAAGACATCTTTCACTTATTTTTTTTTCTAAAAGACACGAGGACAAATTAAGATTGCTCGTATTAATCAGACTGGATCGATCAAACGAGGACCAACTTGTCGCTGAGGTTCTTGCGGTAGACGTGGATGAGCCCCGTGTCGTCAACCTTCTGCAGCTTCTGCTTGAGGATCTCCTTGTACTCATCATCCTTGTTCTCTAACTTCGTCTTCAGCTTAACCTAATCATCCATAAAAAAGAAAATAAATTTAAATTCAAAATCCATCTGAATTCCACCAAAACATAAAACTTGTTTAGAGTGTATATGAAGGTATCAGACAAGCCATGAGCCATTAGAGAATTTAGGAAGAGAAATGAAATGAGCAAGAATGGATTGGTAATTTGGTACCCGTTTCTGGAAGAGCGCGAACTCGTCGGAGCTGAGCGAGCCGTCGCTGTTGGCGTCGAGGAGGCGCATGAGCTCCTCGGCGTCATGGCCGCCGGCGCCGAGGTCCTCCATGATCTCGGTTAGCTCCTCCATGCTGATCCTCCCGTCGCCGTTCTTGTCGAGCAGCTGGAACGCTCGCTCGACATTGCCGGCGGTGGCGGCGGAGGCGGCGGCGGTTGTTTGACCACCGTCGCCGGCTGGCTCGTCGCGGAGGTGCTGAGCTGCCACCTCCGCCGCCGCCAGCATGATGGCCTTGAGCCTCTTGGCCTCCTCAGGATCGGTGAGGCCGCCCTTGTAGAGCGCGTGCGACGCCTGGCCGCCGACGGCGGCCATGTCCATCTCCCTGGTGCGCACCTGGATCTCCATCAGCGGCCTCTTCTTCCCCTCCGGCCCCGGCTCGCTCATGTCGACGGCGACGTGCAAGCTCCGGTACCCGTTCCCCTTGGGACGCGTGATGTAGTCCTTGGTCCTCGCCGGCACGTCCTTCCACATGGCCTTGATCACCTCGTGCGTCCGCAGGCATGCCCTGTCGCCGCCGTCGCCGTCGCCGCCGCCGCCGCCGCCGGGGCGAGGGTCCAGGATGACGCGCATGCCGAGGATGTCGTTCACGTCCTCCGGCCGCCGGCCGTCCTTCACCAGCTTCTTCATGGTGCTGAACCGGCTCTTGTACCGGCCCATGACGTCGACGCCGGTGACGGTGCAGCGGAGCTCGTCGTCGGCGGTGAGCGCGCGGAGGAGCTCCTCCTTGGACGCGGCGATGACGCGCTTGCAGTCGTCTTCTTGGCTGCTCAGCCACTGGTCGATGTGGGCGTAGGCCTGCGGGTACAGGCGCTGGAAGGAGAGGTCCTCGAGCTCCAGCGACAGCTCGCCGGCGCCGACGGCGTGCGCCAGCAGCGCGAACACCTTGAGCACCTCAAGCGAGGTGGTCCGCTGCTGGTGCTTGGGGAGGACGTCGAGGTGCTTCATGGCGTCGAGCTTGACGGCGAGCTCCAGGATGACGGCGCGGATGTCGTAGCTGGAGAGGCACCGCTTCCGCAGCGCGCTCGCGGCCTCCTCGTCGGCGACGTCGACCTCCGACGGCGCGCGCTTCACCTTGAGGCTCTCTTCCACCAGACCGGCGGCGCTGGCACCGAGCTGCGCCTCGACGTCGGCCATGGCGAGTGCCCCGGTATCCAGAGCTCCCCTCACCATGCCAGCCGAGATGACCTCCGCGTCCATCTGGAGGTCGGCGAGGGAGGCGGCGACCACGAGCGCACGGGAGACGGACTGGCCGCCGCCGCCATCGCCGCCGCCGTCGCGGAGCGCGGGAAGCGCCAGCTTGAGCGCGCGGAAGAGAAGCCGCGACGACGACGAGGTCGCCACGTCCTCCCCCATCCGCTCCGTCAGTCCATTGAACACGCCAAGAAGCTCCGCCATCAGCCGCCCGCCGCTTCCCGCCGGAGCCAGCCGGCGCGTCGACGGACGACGAACCTCGCCGGCGGCACCATGGTCATGCCCAACTCCAGGTGCGTCAATGGCGACGGCGACGGCGACCGTCTCATTGACACCGGCGTTCGCCATCTTGTTGATCACCACTCACCAGCGGCTAGCTAGCAAGCAACAACCAAACACAATACCCTTGCTTAGTTGCTTACATGACCCAATGTTGTGAATGATATGACATACTATAAAACAGATCATGTGATCAATGTGCAAGATTTGAAAAGAATATTGTACATGCCGTTGCACATGCACGGGGAAGAAAGAAATATTGTCACACTCAAACACTTGGTCTACTTGAACGCAAAATATCTTCTTAGGATGTACCTACGCAGATTGATGCGGTTTTTTAAAGGAATTCAGAAGAAGCATTCCGAACATTCAACACATGTGGGTATGTATAATCAGCAGTATTTGAAAATGTTAAGCTCCAGTTCCAGTTCACAAGCTGTTTGTCACCCAGCTCCTTGTAGAGTTATCCATTCTTTCTATAAAGTTAAGACCCAAAGCTGCCTCCTTAATTCGCAAAGTCATCAACATTATATTAGCCGTTCGATCAATATATGCATCAGATATACACCATTGCATCCCTCATCCTCTTGTCCAGCATGCATGGTAATCACCTTGCTCCTTTCCATTCCCCTCCCTTAATCACATGCATTAATTTACAGTAGAAACCGTTAAATTAATTGGGACATGAGGTGTAATGGTTAATACGATTCATGTGCCTCTTGCGATTCTTCCAAACCTTTTAATAAGCCCATTTGCAATCCCCACTGTAACCAAGTCTCTTCCCCCTTTGCATGAATCTTTTCATCGTACTTTGGATTCCATTTGGTAAGCCTGAATTTAATCTTTATTTGATCGGATTCTATTTGAGTATACATTATAATTTGAACCAAGCAGGAGCACTATCGAAGTTTTGTCGATTGGTTTATCTAAACTTGAAGAAAGAATCCCTATCCTATGCATTTACTGTTGTTTTAATTTCTTAAGAAAAGATTTGTCATACTTACAGCCAATACTTCTATTTCCTATCACTTTAATTTATTTGAGCAGTTGCTCATGCCCAACTCCAGGCGTGTCGGCGGTGATCACTACCGTCTCATTGACACCGACGTTCGCCATCTTGTTGATCACCACTTGCCAGCGGCTAGCAAGCAATAACCTAACACAATGCCCTTGCTTAGGCTGTGTTTAAATCTAAAGTTTGGATCCAAACTTCAGTCCTTTTTCATCACATCAACCTGTCATACACACACAACTTTTCAGTCACATCATCTTCAATTTCAACCAAAATCCAAACTTTGCGCTGAACTAAACACAGCCTTAGTTGCTTTTACAAGACCCAATGTTGTGAATGATTTGACATACTATAAAACAGATCATGTGATCAATGTGCAAGATTTGAAAAGAATAATGTACATGCCGTTGAACATGCACGGGGAAGAAAGAAATATTGTCACACTCAAACACTTGGGCCTGTTTGGTTGTTGCCCTGAGGAGAATTTGCCTGGCCTGAGAGTAGCCTGACTCATTTTACTTCTTGTTTGGTTGCTACCCTGAGACCGTCTCCCTCTCGCCTGGCCTGACGCATTGACGCACGCAATTAGCCTGAGTCAGGCGACCAAAATCGGTCGCCTGAGCTCCAGGCGTAGCACCGTTTGTGGATTACAATGTAATCTCTCTCAGCTACACGAAAGTCACTGCCGTATGAAGCTCCCACCGTCGCACAAAGCTGGCTCGCGTGGATCCCGGGCACCGCGGCCGTTGTCGTCGCTGTTCCGCCCATCCGGCGAAGCCCCTGCCGCCGTCGCTGTCGTCGTGCGATGCTACCGCCCCTTTTCAGATCTAGCTTCCCGCAAAGCTTCCGGCGAGGCTGTCGAATCCCGTCGTTTGCTGTGGCCTCTTCGCGCGAAGCTTCCGCCGAGGCTGCCGATTGTTTGGTTCATGAAGAAAGCTGCGGACTTGGCGATTGAAGCTCACAGCTGCAAAAGATCAATAAAGATCTAATTTGCTATAGGTATTGCTAGATTTAGGGGTTCGTCTTCCTTGTATTATTCTCTTAATTATTTTCCCCTTATTTTTTGGTATGGGATTGATTTGATTTTGCTTATGGAAAGCTGGGTACATATGGATTTTAGTTGGATGGACGATGCTGCCGAGATTTACATCTTCATGTTTAACACTTTACTTAGCAGTAATCATCTAGAGCAAATCACTTGTTTTTCTTCTCAGGTAGCTGCGACAAACCAAACAAGCACAACCTCAGGCCGCCTGACCAGGTCGTGTTCCTGAACTTCTCGTATGCCTATCAGGCATGGAAATTCTTCAGGCACGGTGTCGATGGCACCAACCAAACAGGCTTGGTCTACTTGAACGCAAAATATCTTCTTAGGATGTACCTACGCAGATTGATGTGGTTTTTAAAAGGAGTTCAGAAGAAGCATTCCGAACATTCAACACATGTGTGTATGTATAATCAGCAGTATTTGAAAATGTTAAGCTCCAGTTCCAGTTCACAAGCTGATTGTCACCCAGCTCCTTGTAGAGTTATAGACCTATATAGGTTGTGTTCGCTGGAATGGGTTGGGAACCCATCTCCCGCGCAAGAAAAACGGAGCGTTACATTAGCACGTGATTAATTAAGTACTCTCTCCGTCCAAAAAAAACTTAACCTAGGAGGGGATGTGACCCATCCTAGGACAATGAATCTGGACTATCCTTTGTCTATATTCATTATTCTAGGAGAGGTCAGATCCCCTCCTAGGTTAAGTTTTTTTTTTTTTGGAACGGAGGGAGTATTAGCTATTTTTTTTTAAAATGGATCAATATAATTTTTTAAGCAACTTTCGTACAGAAAATTTTTACAAAAACGCGCGGAAAACGAGGCGGAAAACGAGGCGGAGGGAGTTGGGAACTAGACTTACGAAGAGAGCCATAGTATATATACATGTTAATATATAAACCCCACGCTGTGAATCATCTGCAGCTTCTCATTAGTTAGATCTGAAATATATGGCCATATGGCCCGAGGGCTAACGGCCCGACCCAAGCACGGCCTGGCCCGACTGGGGTCGTGCCCGTGCTAGCCCGGCCCGATAGCTGTGCCATGCCTAGGCTGCTCCCTCGGCACGGTGGGTCGGCACGGCCCATCACGATCGAAGAAAAATAATAGAGGGACCCAAAATAGACTTAATCAACTATATAAGGCAAGGCCCAAAGAGATGAGGAATACAAAATAGACTTATTTTCCAGCCATATAGTCACAGCCCAAAGAGTTGAGGGAGGAAAATAGACTTATTTTGTGGAGAAGCACAATGCGCTGTCGTGCCTGCGGGCTGGCCCGGCACGACTCGAGTCTTATTGGACCGTGCCTGGGCCATGTGTGCAGCCCGTGGACTGGCACGGCACGGCCCGACCTCCCAAGTGACCTCGGCCCAGGCACGGCCATGCCTAGCCGGACGGTCCATTTGGCCATCTATATCATCTGATAAGATGGAAGATGATATAAGATGGAACGTTTCAATGATATCAAGTTTGGGACACTCTAGAGCATTTCCAGAGTGATCGCTGCAAATATAATTTCACACTTTCAGTGTTAATGAAAAATAGTACCCAACTTGATTAACCTTTTTTATTCCGATTAACATGGTAATTTTTATGTTGAGAAAGCAAACACAGTGGCTTCTTTTAGTATTCTTTTAACATACAATAGAACAAAGATATAAAATTTTGTATTTGTTTCTCTCCTTCCCTACATTTTCAGACTAATATTGGAATTTTCTGCTGTCCAAATTGCCATGCTTACAGACCATATTATGGAGTATGAACGATTTGACATATTATCATAATGAGATATTTCCTTATATGCCACTGAAAATTGGTCTGATCCCTTATATGCCACTGAAAATTGGCTCTTTCCTTATATGCCATTGGTCCAAATGCCACTACCGTCATTTGACCGTGTGTTGACCGTTAACTCTCAAGTAAAAAAGACATATTTGCCCTCTCTGAGTTGTTAGGCATGCCCTATACTCAGAAGGGTAAATACGTCTTTTTTCCTTGAGAATTAACGGTCAACACACGGTCAACTGATGGGAGTGGCATGAGAGGGTGTGCAAATTTGGATCAATGGCATATAAGGGAAGAGCCAATTTTAAATGGCATATAAGGGATCAGACCAATTTTCAGTGGCATATAAGGGATTCTCTCTATTATAATACAGATAATGCGATCAATGTGCAAGAGTTAAGAACAGAACAATATATGTGCCATTCATCATGCCAGCATGGGGAATAAAGAAATACTGTCACACTCACACACCTGGTCTACTTCAATTTAAAATATATTTCTTTGGATGTATCTACGCAGATTTGTGTTTTTAAGGAATTCAGAGGATGCATTCTGATTTCTGAACATTCAACACATGCGGGAATATTTCAGCAGTATTTGGATGTCATCATCGCAGTAAGCATAGTGACGGTGGTTTGGTTTAGTTGAGTAACTCACTGTTAAGTTCCAGTTTCAGCTCACAAGCAGTATGTCACCCGCTCCTTGCATTATACCTGAATAAGACCTGTGTATAGATGGCCAAATGGGCCACCGGGTCCAGTATGGACTAGGCACGACTGGGCCTGGGCTGAGGCTAGTCAGCCCAGCACGGCCCAACCAACACGCCGGGCTGGGCTGTGCTTGCCTATGGGCTGCACCCACGGTCTAGGCCGACCCGAAGGGACGATAGCCCATCGTGCTTCTCTATTAAGTAAGTCTATTTTCCTCCCTCATCCTTTGGGCTGTGTCTTATATGGATGGAATAAATCTATTTTGTATATCTCTTGTCTTTGGGCTGTACCTCAAATGGCTGAAGTAAGTTTATGATGGATCCCTCAACTATTTTTCTTTGGTCGTGCCGGCCCACCGTGCCGAGGGAGCAGCCTAGGCATGGCCCGGCTGTCGGGCCGGGCCGAGCCGACACGAGCACGACCCCAGTTGGGCTATGCCGTACTTGGGCCGAGCTGTCGGGCCTCGAGCCATATGGCCATCCATAGACTTGCGACATCAATCGTCTCTGACTCTCATCAATTAAATCTGATAAGATGGAACTTATTAAGGTATCATTAGTTTTGGACACCAAAGAGGGGGGCCCTAATGGGCGATCGCCTGGGCGATCGGATCCGGCCCCCCCTCCCCCTATACTCCTCCCTCCTCTCCCCTATTCCTCCTCCCCTTCTCCTCTTTCTACTACAGTAGACTACACAAAATTATTTGAAAAATAAAAGTTAGAAAAATTTATGTATAGAAATACTATATATAAAAAATTTGAATTCAAATTCAAATTTGAATCGGGTATGTAAACTTTTGACTTATAAACTTTGGGTCTATAAACTTTAGGTGTATAAACTTTAGATGTATAGAAATACTATGTATAGAAAATATTTGAATTCAAATTCAAATTTGAATCAGATATAATTCAAATTCAAATTTGAATCGGGTATATAAACTTTAGGTCTATAAACTTTAGGTCTATAAACTTTAGGTGTATAAACTTTAGATGTATAGAAATACTATATATGAAAAATATTTAAATTCAAATTCAAATTTGAATCGGATATTTGAATTCAAATTCAAATTTGAAATGGGTATATAAACTTTTGACTTATAAACTTTAGGTCTATAAAATTTAGATGTATAGAAATACTATATATATAAAAATATTTGAATTCAAATTCAAATTTGAATAGGATGTATAAACTTTTGACTTATAAATTTTTGGTCTCTAAACTTTAGATGTGTAAACTTTAGGTGCATAAATTTACTAAAATAGGAAAGTAATGCGGTGCCAAAAAAGGAAACAAGGTGGAGAGGTGGAGGGAGGGGGGGGGGGGGGAGGGGCGTGCAAAAATTGATCGCCCTGGGCGAGCTCGCCCAGTAGCATTCCCGCACCAAAGAGCATTTCCAGAGTGATTGCTGCAAATATAAATGCTCCCTCCATCCCAAAGGCTTAACCACTCACAACACAAATACCAATAAAACATTTAATACTTTCTTGGTTGGATCGCATTGATACATACAAGCAATGTGATTGGAAGGTTTAATGGTATATGATTTGAAATAAATCAATTCTATTGGACCAAGAGGTGCTAGTTAATGTATACATGCATGCACGCCTTATATTACGAGACACGAGAGAAAAATGGCTGTGCCTTATAATTTGGGATGGAGGGAGTAATGTCTAATTACCTGTCTCTGGAAATGGAATGACTCGAATTCATCAGAGCTCAAGGAGCTAGCCATGGCTGTTTGCATCAAGAAGAAGCACAGCTCCTTTGAATCTTTGCCCCAGCAACAAGATCTTCCATCACCTCAGTGAACTCCTCAATGCTGCTCCTCCCATCGCAAAACTGCTAACTCTTCCGCGGCCTGCATGACAGCCTTGAACCCTTGAGTCTCTCAGCCTGGACGAAATAATTGAAGGGAAATTCCTGGCTTTACCAAATTTAGCAAGTTCTCACTCCTTCCTAGTATACATTAGGAAAGCAGCTATTTTTTCCCCATGTGATCACTTCTGTGAGTCTGAATGAGAACAGTAAGATAATACTGAATGGTGACGGGACCCATCTCTCATCCACAATCCAGTTGCACGTTGCATGATGCCAGGACCATATCTATCCTCTGCCAAAATGGTCCGTACTCTTCCTCATGACAGCCAAAAACCACATCCTGCATCGTCAGATCTCCGCAGAGCGCATGGAAAACGCCATGGTACAACGCGATGGAGTCATGGCTAGGTCCATCTTGCCATCAACCAACCTTCTCCAGGCATTGCTCACCGCGAACCGGGGGGTGCCACCCCTATGTCGCCATTTCGTCGAACACCTCACGCGCATGCGCCCGCTCGGTCGCTCGGCAACGAGCAGGTCACAGCAGGCAATTGCACCTGCTCTACGCCGCCGCTGCCCTCTTTACCCAATCTCCTAAATCTCCGTCAGTCACCACCTCCCGTACCAAGAACTTCTCCCGCAGAAGCGCGTCGAACGGGCAGCCGCCCGCGGCGCGCAGCCCAACCGAGAAAAAGGAGCTTCCAGAGAGCTCCATGCCCGCCCGCTGCGACCACCGGAGCGCCTCACCCGATCAAAAGGCGGGGTGCGCGGCCGAGTAGAAGCGGAAGCGGAGGCGGAGGCGGAGGCGGCATCTCTTCTTCGTCGAGAAGATGGCGGGGTGGGCGCCGGCGCCGGCGCGCGGTGGTGATTGAACTTCGAAATCGTCGACCGTTGCGAGACAGGGAGTTACGGGTGGAATACGAAAAAAAATCAGGGGTGTATTCGTTGCAAATACATGACCGGATTCAGGACTGGTTAATCTTGACCGTGCAAGCTCGATCCAACGGTCACTCATATCATCACGGGCTTGTTTGGTTTAGAGGCAATCATTTGGTTTACCAAATTTAATACTATAGAATTTAAACTAGTGTGGACAAAAATTGGTAACAAAGCAAAACATTTACTCTCTCCGTTTCAGGCTATAAGACGTTTTAACTTTGGTCAAAGTTAAACTGTTTTAAATTTGACTAAGTTTATAGACAAATATAGTAATATTTATAATACTAAATTAGTGCCATCAAATCAATAATTGAATATATTTTCATAATAAATTTGTCTTGGGTTGATAATGTTATTATTTTTTCTATAAACTTGATAAAACTTAAAGTAGTTTGATTTTGACCAAAGTCAGAGTTATTAAATATTATTAAAGTTGTCAAAGTTTTGGTTCCAAACAAGCCCAAAAAAACACTTCTGACAACTACATTTCCTCTTTAAAAAAACACCTATATGGTTTACCTTAAACAGTTTTACCATTTACATCCAAATCTTAATCATGAAGAGGTAAAATAATTTTCAAATATTTTTTTGTGAAAACATTAAACACCATTGCCTGCGATTTCAAGTATTATGCAATTATTTTACTATAAAATAAAATTGGTTGTTCTACTGTCCACATTGCCTTGATTACACGACCTTATGTTATGAACGATCTGACGTATTATAAAACAGACCATGCAATCGGTGTGCAAGAGGTATGAAAAAGAACAATATATATGACATTCAACATGCATGGCGAATAAAGAAATACTGCCACACTCACACACCATCTGCCCATCTGGTATCCTTAATTTCAACTCAAAATACTTTTTGGATGAACCTATGCAAAATTATGTTCTTTTCTTAAGGAATTCAGAGGAATGCATTAGTCTCAACAGTAAACAAATGCCGGTATAGTCAGCAAGAATTTGATACGTTCCGTCTTTATTAGATTGATCTGACGAGAGATGTTGATCTCCTGTACATTAGGAAAACAGCTATTTTTCCCCATGTGATCAGTGCTGTGACAAAGGCAGGGCAGGCCATGGATGAGAACACTGAAGATAACATAACACTGACTCGATCTGAAATAATGATGGTACCCACCTCTCGTCCACCATCCAATTCCACCTGCCATGCCCATGCTTTATCATCTCAGGACCATTATATCCTCTGCCAAAATTGATTCATACTCTTTCCTCATGACAACCAAAACCGCATCCCGCATTATCGATGCTCTGGCGCCTACAATACGAATGCGGCAGCTTCTTGGCAGGAACATCTTGCCGTCAATCAACCTTGTTCAGGCATTGCTTTACCACGAACCGGGGTTGTCACCCCCGCGTGGCCATTTCGTCGAGCACCTCGAGCGCATGCGGCCGCCCGGACAATCTGCAACGAGTAGGTCGTAGCAGGCAAATCACTGAACTGAACCACGCCTAGCTTTACGCTGCCGCTGTCCTTTCCCCCATTCCTAAAGCGCCGTCACCCACCGCTCCTCGCATCCAGAACTTCTCACGCAGAAGCGCGTCGAACGGCGGCCGGCGGCTGGCTGCGCCGGCGCCGCGCACACCCCAAACCAATTGCGCGCGGCCGGTGAATAAAAGAACTTCCAGAAGAGCGCCCTGCCCGTCCGATGCCACCACCGGTGTGCCTCCTCCTCCGATCAAAAGCGGCAAGCGCGGCGGAGAAGCGGAATCGGAGGAGGCATTTCGTCGAGCTAATGGCGGGTGCGGCGGCGGCGGCGGTAGGTGTTTGAATTCGTCGACCGTTGCGGCGTTGCGACCCTGCGAGGCTGCAGTACTGGTTAATCTTGACCGTGCAAGCTTGATCCAACGGCCGTGTCTACTCTTGTTTCCCGTAATCTTCTCACAAGTACTTGGTTAGGATTTACATCCAAATCTTAGTAATTAATGAAGAGGTGAAATAATTTCCATTGAAACTTCCGTGAAAATATTAATCAAACACAATTGCCTTTCAATTTTACTTTAAAAAGCATTTTGGTACCTTATTACCGTTCAGCATCCAAATAAATTATTACAGGCTTACAGATTCCATTAACATGAATTGATTCATACAAGACGAAAACATCAACATCAACCCAGATTGGGATTTGCATGCAATCAATGATCTTCAAATTGACGCCGAAACCACAACCAAATATCACCAGATCGATTTTGCAGCTCGTTTGTTCAGCCGGAGACGAGCTTGTCGCTGAGGTTCTTGCGGTAGACGTGGATGAGCCCCGTGTCGTCGACCTTCTGCAGCTTCTGCCTGAGGATCTCCTTGTACTCATCATCCTTGTCCTCCAACTTCGCCTTCAGCTCAACCTGATGTCATGTAAATCGCCCGAATTTTAAAAACGGTCAAAATTTGTATGAATTCTAATAGCAAATTAAATGAAGCAAATTTGGAGTTTGGGCTTGACATGGTAGTCGAGATTTGGAATAATTTGGTACCCGTTTTTGGAAGAGGGCGAACTCGTCGGAGCTGAGCGAGCCGTCGTTATTGTCGTCGAGGAGGCGCATGAGCTCCTCGGCGTCCTTGCCGCCGGCGCCGAGGTCCTCCATGAGCTCCGTCAGCTCCTCCATGCTGATCCTCCCGTCGCCGTTCTTGTCCAGCAACCGGAATGCTCGCTCGATGTTGCCGGCGCTGGCGGCGGCTGCGGCGGCGGCAGGGACTCCGGTCTGGTCGCCGGTGGCTGGCTCGTCGCGGAGGTGCTGCGCTGCAACCTCTGCCGCCGCCAGCATGATGTCCTTGAGCCTTTTCGCCTGCAGAACATAAATTATTTGGATATATTTTGATCGAGAACAAAATTAATTATTTCTATTCAAATTTGAACAAAAAATGTTTAATTTTAACTTTTCTTAAAGAAATTTTGCATCTATTATAGTACCCTGTTTTTCCTAATATTTCATGTATAGAACATGTGCTGGTGCCTCTTACCCGTGTGATAAAGAGAGCATTTATGGGTGTATAAATGATGCGCGCGTGCTTTTTCTATATGTAATTATCCATCATTTCGGGTTTGTTCTAAGTTAAATGTTTGTATCTTTACCATCCATTTATCGAAATTCATATAGTTTAATATCGTAAATATATGTTATTAGATTCACAATGAGAAACTCTTTCACAATATATAATTCACATATTTTTAAACTACACAATTCTTTTAATAAAATAATAGTCAAATATAAAAATGTCTGACTTAATAAAATTTATAACGATAAATTATTTGAAACAGAGTAAGTAAAAAAGAAAATTCACCTCTTCAGGATCCGCGAGGCAGCCCTTGTAGAGGGCGTGGCCAAAGACGGCGGCGTCGTTCATCTCCTTGGTGCGGATCTGGACCTCCATCAGCGGCCTCTTCTTCCCCTCCGGCCCCGGCTCGCTCATGTCGACGGCGATGTGCAAGCTCCGGTACCCGTCCCCCTTGGGCCGCGCGATGTAGTCCTTGGTCCTCGCCGGCACGTCCTTCCACATCCCCTTGATCACCTCGTGCGTCCTGATGCACGCGCGGTGGCCGTCGCCGGCGCCGGCGCGGTGGTCCAGGATGACGCGCATGCCGAGGATGTCGTGCACGTCCTCCGGCCGCCGCCCGTCCTTCACCAGCTTCTTCATGGCGCTGAACCGGCTCTTGTATCGGCCTTTGACGTCGAAGCCGGCGACGGTGTGGCGGAGCTCGTCGTCGGCGGCGAGCGCCTGGAGGAGGTCGTCCTTGCAGGTGGCGAGGACGCGCTTGCAGTCGTCTTCTTGGCCGCTCAGCCATTGGTCCACCTGGGCGTAGGCCTGCGGGTAGAGGCGCCAGAAGGAGAGGTCCTCGAGCTCCTTGGAGAGCGCGCCGGCGCCGACGGCGTGCGCCAGCGGCGCGAACACCTTGAGCACCTCCAGCGAGGTGGTGCGCTGCTGGTGCTTGGGGACGCCGTCGAGGTGCTTCATGGCGTCGAGCCTGATGGCGAGCTCGAGGATGACGGCGCGGACGTCGTAGCCGGAGAGGATCCGGTTGCGCACCGCGCTCGCCGCCTCCTCGTCGGCGACGTCGACCCGCGACGGCGCGTTCTTCACGTCGAGGCTCTCGAGGAGCAGCGCGGCGGCGCCCGGCCCGAGCTGCGCCTCGGCGTCGGCCATGGCCACCGCGCCGGCGTCCATCGCCTGCCTCACGATCCCCGCCGAGATGACCTCGGCGTCCATCTGGAGGTCGGCGAGGGACGCCGCGACGATGAGCGCGCGGGCGAGGGAGCGTCCGCCGGCGGCGTCGCGGAGCGCGGGCAGCGCCAGCTTGAGCGCGCGGAAGAGGAGGGTCCACGACGACGAGGTGGCGACGTCGTCCCCCATCCGCTCCGTCAGCCCGTTGAACACGCCGAGCAGCTCCGCCATCAGCCGCCCGCCGCTGCCCGCCGGAGTCAGCCGCGGCGCCGGCGCGTGGTGCTCGACGTCAGGCGCCACCGCGGCCGCGGCCGGGTCGACGACGACGACCTCACCGCCGGCGCTCGCCATCGTCTCTCGTCTACTCGCCGGAGGTTGCAAAGCTTCTTGAGGATAGTTCACTCCGGCTGCATATATTATCCTACCTAGCTTGGATATATATAGTCTTAGCTGTGACTGATCATGGCCACGTTCTCGGCGTGTTGAGGTAAAGAAAAGGAAAGAAAGGAAATAATGCAGCAACTCCAACAAATGATATTAGACCAAACAATTATTGTTTCACATTATCTTTTTTTTTTCAAAAAAATGGTGGCTGGTTCTTTTTGGAAAGGAATTTATGAATACTTTAAACGGTGACATGCATGTTTTTCAAGTACAATACATCTTACACGTTGTTTACATGTAATCATGGTGTGGATTCTAAACTCGATCTCAGTGGCGGACACACCCATTAGTCAGGGTGGGTCGGCCGTCCCGAGAATTTTCAGAATATAACACCCAATACGCACTACTTTCAGGATTTATCACCCAATTCGCACTACTTTCAGAATACACCACTAGAGTGCGAATTTTCTTCGTTCCGTAACACTCCGTCCTCCCAACGACGCCCGTCGTCAGTTCATCCATCTCGCGCCGTTTGCCCGCACAAATCTGGCTGCCGGCGAGCTCGTCCTCCCCCACGCCGGCGAGCTCGTACTCCCCCCACCGGCGAGCTCGTCCTCCCCCACGCCGGCGAGCTCGTCCTTCCCCACGCCGGCGAGCTCGTCCCCGAGCTCAGCCGCCGCCGCACCGGGCTGCCGCCACCGCGCCCCGAGCCGGCGCCGGTCCAACCTCCGCCGCCGGAGCTCGACGCCCTCCGCCCTCCACCGCTGCTCCCCTCTCTGCCGGCCCTCCACCGCGTGCGCCGATGGTGGCGACGGACGAGCGACGGCGGGGCTGACGCGGGCGACGACGGCGGGCTGACGCGGGCGGCGACGGCGGGCTGACGCGGGCGGCGACGGACCGGCGACGACGGGGCTGACGCGGGCGGCGATGGACCGGTGATGGCGGGGCTGACGCGGGCGCGAGCGGCGGCGAACTGACGACGAACGGCACCGGGAGGACGGAGGACGACAGGCCGACTGACGCTAGGGGACGGAGTGTTACGGAAAGAAGAAAATTCGCATTCCAGTGGTGTATTCTGAAAGCAGTGCGAATTGGGTGATAAATCCTGGAAGTAGTGCGTATTGGGTGTTATATTCTGAAAATTCTCGGCCGTCCCAGCTACGGTCCGTGTCGCCCCACGTCCCCAAACCTCATTTTATTCATATTTCTAACACATTAGTCATCAGTCTACTATTGAATAATCACATAAATCAAGTATTCTAAGTAGGAACAAAAACATTTATGAAAATTCGTGTATAAATAGTACCATTTTGACTGTTTCTGATTTTGGCCATACATAAAATTCAATTTTCTTTCTATTTCTTTAGTGTATAATACAGTCTACAGTAAATAGTTAAATTGGTAAATATATATAAAGAATCCATTTTACTCACTTGAACTATTTTGGCGAAGCACTTAAACCCCTAAATAATTTTTCATCTCGTTTTATACCCCCGAACTATTGAAAGTGGTTTCCCTTATTGTCTAAAAGAATTTCTCTTTTTTTCATCTCTACATATAAGTCATATACGTTTGTTCGACTACCAATCTACGTTGTTAACTTTCTCGATGTTCGTGCCGTGCGCTGTTGCGCCAATTCCGTGAACCGGCGACTATGATTTGTGTGCGTTGTGCCATTACCTAATTAGGGCTAGCTCTACTGCCCCATCTATATTTTAAACCTGCGTCTGCCACTGCTCGATCTCGAGCGGATATCATCTTGATGTTTACATGTTATCTAAATAGTTATAAAAAAATAAGATAGATTAATATGTGATCAGCTCAGCCATCAGCCGGCCGCCGCTGCCCGCCGGAGTGAGCCGCGGCGCTGACACGTGGTGCTCGATGTCAGCCGCTGCCGGTTGGACGAGGAGGACGTCAACATTGCCGCCGGTGCTCGCCATATCGTCGATCTCCTCGCCGGAGGATACAAGCTCTTAGGGATTGTTCACTCCGGCCAGTGAGGCAGTGAGTGGAACTTCAAGCTGGTAAGCTACTTATCCTTCTCGCATGGAGTGAATATATAATATAGGAAAAAGTAGGAATTACCCTCCCCCTCCTACGAACTATCGCGGTCGACCGAATTACCCCCTGAACCACAAAACCAGACATTCTTCACCCCCACTATGCAAACCGGACAAATTATCCCCCTCGAGCCAATCCGCGGTGGTTTTGGTTTACGTAGCGTACGCGTGGCAGTCCAGTCAGCACTATATTTATTTAAAAAATGTGGGACCTACATGTCATACTCTTCCCCTCTCTCTCTCACTGTTCCTCTCTCTTCCTCTCTCTCACAGGCGGCAGGCGGGGGACACGGAGCTGCAGCGCCGGCGGCGCCGGCGGAGGATGAGGGTGACGCGGAGGCGACAGCGGTAGCGCGGCCTCGCCAGAGTCGAACGTCGCTACGGCGGAAGAGGAGAGGTCACACAATGTGGAGGCAAGGCTGGTCGCGGCGCGGAGCGCGGCGTGGGCCTCGGCGAGGAGCTGCTTGAGCGCCAGGAGCACCTCTCCTCATCCTCCGCGCGACGGCCGGGGCAGCGGAGGGGGACCGAGGACGGCGACGGCCGAGGGCGGACCAGTTGGGGGCGACGATGCCGCGCGCGCACGGGGAGGCACATGGCAGCGTCGACAGCGACCGACGACGCCGTGGAGGTCGGCGGCGGCGGCGACGCGAGAGCAAGCATGTGTGGTTAGCGGCGGCGGCGACGCGGGAGCAAGCATGTGTGGCCGGCGGTGGCGAGGTGACGACGGTCCGGCTCCGGCCCCATGCTCCCCCATCGGCCATCGCTTTCTTCCCGTATTCCAGGCCTAGTGGCGCCGCGCTTGCACGAGAGGGCACCGGTGGCGGCGACAGCGCACGAGGGAGAAAGCTGGGCCGGCGAGCTTGTTCGCGCGGGACCGGCGGCGGACGGGGGTAGAGGCCGCGTGGATCTGGAGGACGATGCAGGACCCCGACGGCCCCCACGCGCCGCCGTCCGCCGCTCGCCCCCACGCGCCGCCGTGCGCACTTGTGCCGCCCCCACTCGCTGCCGTCCGCCGCCCGCCCCTGCTCGCAGCCGTCCGCCGCGCTCCCCCACGCGCCGTCGTCGTCCGTGGCTCCACGCCGCCGTGCGCACCTGCGCCGCCCCCACTGGCCACTGTCCGTCGCCCGCCCCCCGCCCCTGCGCGCCGCCATCCACCCTGCACCGCCGTCCGCCGCGCGCCCTACGCCCCGCCGTCGTCCGCGGCTCCATGCCGCTGTGCGCACTTGCGCCGCCCCCACTAGCCGCCATCCGTCGTTCGCCCCCTAGCCCCACCCGCCGCTCCGCACCGCCGTGCGCACTTGCGCCCGCGCGCACGAGTGAGAGAGAACGGAGAGAGAAATTAGGAAGAGGTGAAGTGGAGGCATGACAGGTGGACCTCACCAAATTTTTTTTAAAAAAAATGCTGATTGGACTGCCACGCGTACGCCACGTAGGATAAAACCGCTCTGGATTGGGTCGAGGGGGGTAATTCGTCCGGCATTGAAAGTTCAGGGTGAACAATGTCTGGTTCTCGGGTTCGGGGGGGGGGGTAATTCGGTCGACCGCGATAGTTCGGGGGATAATTCATACTTTTTTGTATAATATACCACTGAGTTTGTCTAATTCAATAATTTACCATTGATGTCGTTTGTTTCTACAATATACCAACGATTTTATCAATTGTTTTATAACTAGAAAAAATGTCCGTACGTTGCAACGGGTGAAGATTATTTTAATTTTATTATTGTTATACGGTTTTGTTAAGGTAAAATTCACTCTGAGAATTCGCTTAGATATATATTTTTTCTAGAAAATCATGAGCTGTAATTTGAAGTCCGATCATCTCAAATTATCGTGTAAGTTTATTTAAAGAGATTTCTTATATGACTATGACTGCTCATGTATTTCCAAAAGTGAACGTACTTAAAACCCGACTCAAATACAGATTTGTATTTCCAAAAGCGAACGAACTTAAAAACGACTCATACACGGATGACGTCGAAGTACCGGCAAAAGCATATTCAATTTTTATAATAGTTTCACTATGAGAATTTCGCTTGGATGTATATTTTCCTAGAAAATCATGAGCTGCAACTAGGAGCCGATCATCTCAAGTTAGCATGCAAGTTTTTATAAAGAGATTTCTTATATGACTCGTCATTTATTTCCAAAAGCAAATGAATTTAAAACCTGACTCAAATACATATTTGTATTTCCAAAAAACAAACGAACTAAAAAACCGACTCATACATCTTCAATTTTATAATAGTAGAGATATATCACTGGGTTGTGTTTATTTTTTCAAAAATAAATAAAATACTTTATGGACATACAGGATGAACAATTTAGAAGTTTAAAAAAATACAAAATTTTTTATTTGGCCCCCTTACACATATGGAAGTTTGCATATAAGTTTCAATTTTTTTTTGCATTTCTCCTTTTTCTTTAAATATAAATTTTCTGTTGTATGTTATATAAAATACTAGTTGTGTTGTTGTTTTCACTGTAAATTATCTTTCATATGCTACACAAGATATTTTTTTCCTATTATCTTCCATTTACCACGCAAAAATATTTTTTTCCAAAAAAGTAAAGATAAAAAAAACACTTGAAACTTATATATGAACTCCTATGTTGTGTAAGGAGGCCACATAAAAATTTGCATGTTTTTTTAAACTCCTAATAAGAGAAATCAATTGTTAAACATCGTACTCCATTCTATAAAAAACCAACCTAGTAAGTACTTACTATGTTGGTTTTTATGGGACGGAGGGGTATGCCTCAAGGGTATTTTTTTTAAAAGAAAAACTTAGCTCGATAAAGTCACCAGTATATTATAGAAAGAGATAATGTCAGTGGTAAACCGTTGAAATGTGACAAACTCAGTGTTATATAGTAGATTCTCTCATACTCTTAGTTGTGACCAGGTTTCATAGTAGCATTGCCGGAACGAAACGATATGAAGAAAAATATTTCGAATGTTGCATCGAAAAATATCTCTTTCAGCACTCAATTCAGATAGATCAGAGGAAAGATACGTGTGAGGAGTAGCCCTACTCCCTCCCAAGCGTGCCTCCTAATTCCTAGCCACCACCGTGCGCACTGATCACGTAGTCAGGTCACAGGAGAGAGAATTGAATTTGTTTTCTTATATTTCCCCGATTTGTTTGGATTCTAAGCTCTCGAGGGCTCTATCTCCTTTTTTTTTTTTGAAAATTATTTTAAACTCTCAAGGAGACGTCCTCTTGGTGTTTACACGTCACATAAATAATTACTAAAAAAATTAAGAAAATATATTAAAATATGATATATGGCTCTACAAACATAGAAGTAAAATTCAACTTCTACATGTCGCAACAAAAATAAATTTAACATTGAATATAGGTTAACTAGCTATGGTTTAAAATTTTCAAGTACTCTCTCCGTTTCACAATGTAAGTCATTCTAGCATTTTCCACGTTTATATTGATGTTAATAAATCTAGATAGATATATACGTCTAGATTCATTAACATAAATATGAATGTGGAAAATGCTAGAATAACTTACATTGTGAAACGGGGAGAGAGTATTAAATAACGGAAACCAACAACAACAAATCCTTCATCTCACTATTTTCTTTATTGAAACAGAGAGAATATGAAAACGATTTTATTTGTGGAGTTGGGTAAACGCACCGTTTGATCCACATGGGTGTACACTCCTGCTGTTGAAAAGGGCGTGCCAGGAGGTTCATAAAAAAAAAATTCTTATCTTGCCTTCACAAACCATACACGTCGATGTCTTACCTGTCATGCCGTCGTGTGACTGGGACCCCGATCGAGACGTACCAGCCGAAGCCCATGAGCCGTTCGATTTACCAGCCGAAACAGATGAGCCGTTCGATTGGCTAATGGCTGTGATTGATCTTGTAGTCGAGCCAAATAAGTACATCTCAATAAATCACGTGCTCGATCACAATATATATGGTTGCGTGTGTATATGTGTATTTCTAGAATATTGTACATATTTATTTTTCGTGTGGTGTGTGGGATCTAGAAATTGTACTTTACACACACTCACACATCATCGCACACATATACAAGTGGTCAGGGATACTTATACACGTGCATGCATTATCTGCATATATTCCCTCTGTGGCTGTCTCACTGAATAATCTTTAATATTTAATTTCTCATATACCATAATGTTTATAGCAAATCGCATACAACCATCGATTTCATGTACAACTAATCATAAACCGTAACGTTTATTAGCAATCGAATGATAATTTTTGGTGTGTGTGTGTGTATATATGTGTGTGTTCTCTTAACATCTTAAAAGTTAATGTCGGATACACTTGAATGAATATGGAATATGAATCATGTGAACTAGCAATATATATTGGGATGACGACAAATTAAGAGTTACATAGTTTCAAAATCTTCACTTCAATGCTAGGTTAGAAGATTGTGGTACTAGGGACATTCTCATCTTTTCGAAAAATTTATCTCTCTAATTGGACCGAAAATATCCTCAAGCAAATTATACTTTTTTTAGGCTATCTTTAGCTGTAACACGTTTTTACGATATCCACCAGCAAATTACACAATTTTTTATGTCATGTAGCAAAATGTGCCTATATTTTATGATGGAGGTATTAGCATATAATAATTGAAGCATACTCTTCTTTTAGTGCAATCTATGTTGTATAATTCGATCACCCCAAATCGCTGACAATATTTATTCGAGAAATTTTACGGTCTTGAGAAAGTACCTCAAGATACATATGACCTGGAGGTACCAAGTTTTACAATAGAAAATATGATCCCTAATACTTTCTCAATTTATTCGCTACTGTCTTATTAACATGTATGTTTTTCGGAGCACCCGATTAACATAGTGATGGATGTATATGCAAGTAAATCGAATGCATGTGTGCATAATGCGTGGTCCTGAGCTGCAGAAAACCATCAAGATATCTTTCAATAATTAAATAAATTGTCATGTGCTATAATATATGGTCCTGTATATGCGCGGCGATGATGTGATATGCCAACGAAGATGGATGCTGACCTCTAGAGGAGTGGTGTTGATGGATTCTCCGAGGAGGAGCGACGACGTCAGAGGCGGGATGCCAATGGAATTCCAACACTGTTTTTTTTGTGAATTTGTGATGGTGAAATGCATGAATTTTTGTTGTAAATTTCGGGATGGTGGAATTGCATTGTGAATTATATGAACTTGAGAATATTTGGGGATTTGAATTTTGTTTTTTTACCGCCCAAAACCATTTTTCCAGTCAGACCACTTAGGGTGACCGTTGATTTTTGCAGGCGGATAAAGGTCCATATGCGAAAATAGTCTGTCCTAGCCACCAGTGTCACAATATATCCATTTCTGTTCCAGTTCTCACCAAAAATTTACTATGCCACAACCCCTTTTGATTCTGTAATCCTAGCCACCAACTTCACAATATATCCATTTCTGTTTCAGTTCTCACCAAAAAATTTACTATGCCACAACCCCACTAGATAAGAAGAGTACCTAATATCTACCACAGCCAAAGAAAAGGCTGCATCACAATATCCTTACAGATCTCACCAAAAAATTTACGAAGTCACGGACCTACCAGAGTACTAGATATGGTCAATCAAAAGGACATTAGCTGACATTTCAAATTCCTTACCACAGCCAAAAAAACAAGCACAGGCATAGTAGCAGTTGGTCACATCGCTTGACAGACTCTTTTATCCATAATACCTCACGGAGGAAGAACCTAAAATTCCAGGTGTTTGTCAGCTTATTTCTTATTAAGAGAAGTCTTGGAACTATGAATTTCTAAAAACATTTCTTATTAAGAGAAGTCTTGGAATTATGAATTTCTAAAAACAAAGATAAAATTTTCATCACATATGGAAGATGCAGCAAGAGCACCATAAGCGTGCAGTGAATCTTTCGACAAAATGGGTATATAGGGCATTGCAACCTATTTGTGGATGTTTGAATGTTCTCTGTGGCACTTATATTTTGCTATGATGTGAATCTATAGAATTAAAAATAAAACTAGCTAGAATCCTAAAAATGGAAAAGTAACACCACAAAACATTACCAAAAATTCAGATTAAGGACTAAGCTTAGCTAAACAAAGATAAATACCATAAACCACACATAATAGGCAATATAGAAAATGCTAAAAAAACATACCCGCTCAGAAGCATCAGAAAACTCCAATGGATAGGTAATAGATCTAGTAGCATGTCTAACTGCATCATATACCACAAGCTGCAAGAAAAAATCAACATGCTTTTGCTAGTTTCAAATGTATATATCAAATTAAGCATTTTAATATTGCATAAACCATCCAAGTATACCTCTAAACCTACATTCCAACTCGGATCGCCACTTGCAAGTAATTCCCAGCCAAGAGAGAGAAGGAACTCTTCAAGCTACTTACAAAAAGTTGACAACATATGACATAGATTTTTTAGCTTCAAATAATATAAAGAGTAAAATGCACCAACGGTCCTTAAACTTGTCAGGAGGTTTCACTTAGGTCCACGAACTTGCAAAGTGCACATCGAGGTCCCTAAACTTGGTTTATTGTATCATCCCGGTCCAAAGCCGCGTTTGACCGTGGTCTTGCCTACGTGGCACGCCACGTGGACGATGACATGGATTTTTTTCTCCCTTCTTCCTTCTTTTTTCTCTTTTATGAAAATACGATGACATGGACGATGACGTGTACGAGGCATTTTCGTCTTTTCGACAAGGAAGAAAGAGAAAAAAAAAGGAAGAAGGGAGAAAAAATAAAAAAATTTCTATGTCATCGTCCACGTGGCGTGCCACGTAGGCAAGACCACGGTCAAACACGGCTTTGGACCGGGATGATACAATAAACCAAGTTTAGGGACCTCGATGTGCGCTTTGCAAATTCGTGGACCTAAGTGAAACCTCCTGACAAGTTTAAGGACCGCTGGTGCATTTTACTCTAATATAAAAATGTTCAGAACATTTTTCTTTACCTTGTGTAGAGTGAAATCGTGCAATCCATTGTAGGAAAGAATTATGTCTCCCTGAGAAATGCCTAGCCTCACAGCAGTAGAATCATCATAAACCTAAATACATCAAAGTAATTAAAATGTTCTGCGTATAATAAAGCATATGACTATTGATTTATTGATATACCACAGCTACGATGAAGCCATCATTAATATTGTGATCAAGTTCTATCTCCTCTTGATGGGAAACTTCTATTAGCTCAAAAGCTCTTAACTCCATATTAAGCACTGGACGAGCAATACGACTACAATAAACAAGAACAAAAAATCAATCACAAAAATCTAACTAAAGATAATTGTAGCGTCATTAAATGTCTAAGTTTACACAAGGTAGCAATGTATGTATATATACATATATATGTATAAGAGAAAAAAAAAACAACCTATAAACACAAACAAAGAGAGCACTCCTGTAAGAATAGATCAATATCCAGCAGCAGCTGCTGCTTCTGCCATCTCTCTCACACACACCTTTCACCTAGCTCTAATACCAATTATTAGTAGGACCTTCTGAACTACACACTATAGTCAAGCTGAAACTCTGATTTGTGTTGCTGAAAAGCTTAGCTTGCATTGCATATAGGCATACATATTTATAGTACATCTGGAGGCAGCAACTACTAGGCTTGTTCGCTAAGACAGCTTACTGCATAAGACTACTTGACTTACTGACCAAGGTACTTCTAGCTTACTGACAAGGGAAAAACAAACTTAACTTACTAGCAGGTCTAGCTTATTGGAGAAGGAAAAGTTTTACTGGCCTATACCGTGCTTACTAGCTATGGAAAAACTACTACTAGTACTGATTCAGATATTATATGTTAATGAACCTGAACTTTGTCCACATTTCAATGCATGTTTGCACAATTGAAATGGGAAGAATATCAGGATTCGGAGGAGCACCAATTGCCATTCCAACAACATCACCGTGCTGGTCAATCACCGATCCTCCACTGCCACACTGCATCAGGGAAACAACAGCAAGTTAAACAAGCAACAAAGCAGAGAAGAATCAAAGAAGCTACTCCCTCCGTCCCATAATGTAGCAACCTAGGATGGGTCACAACCTACTATTATGGGCCGTCCTAGGTTGCTACATTATGGGCCGGAGGGAGTACAATAACAATATACTATTTACCGGGGCTAGTTGACAACTGAGAGACAGACAGTAGTACATGTACTCCAAAACGTTTGGTGGTTCCTGCCACAAGACTGTGCCACGCCTAGCGTGCATTGATGATTCATAATCCCTTGACAAAGCAAACACATCTTGTCCAAATTTTGGGGTAGAACCAAAATTGGCAGGCTGCAATGGAGTGTCTGACACGACCTCCAACAACATAATGCGGTAGTGGTCATTGAAAAACAGCAACTGTCCATCTAGAATGGTATTGTTTGGCAAGTGCACAAGCACCTGAAAATATGAGATTTGATTATTATATGGTTTTGTATCATATACAAAATAGGCAGGATTATCAGCTAGAATAGCACATCTAAAGCAACAGGAATGAAAAGACGGAATCGAACAATGCAAGAAAGGGAAGTCGAGAGGGTGGGTTAATTCTACAATAGAACCTCTATAACCTCCTACTGCATGCATGCGCAAATCTATAATTCCCTACCATTAGGTAGGTACATTGAATAAATTGTCATAGAGTCAAAGCCATGATCATCATTAACCCCCGAGGTTGGGCCGTGGCTTAGTTACCTTGGGTTTGGGGTCGATCAATGCACCATCATCGCACACAGCTTCAGAACAAGTTACAATTGTTGCAGACCTAGTTGTCTCATTCCAACTGACAACGATGCCAGAAAATACAGCAATGATTTTCCCATCTGAAAACAAACCATATGCAAGCTAGCTGCTGGTAATTAATTAGAGGAGATAGATTGCAGTTGAGGATTGTGAGTAGTGAGATCATCTTTTAACCAGAATAGGTGGTCTCAATGGCAACAACCGAGCGTGCAGCCTTCCTGATCATGAGCTTGTCCGGCGTGCTTGCAACGTCCCTGGCGGTGTAAATGTCTTTTGGCTTCCTCCTACGAGTGCAAGGAATCACAGTACCCGGAGGAACTGAAGGAATAGAGCACAAGTTAGTTTTTTTCCCCTTCTTCTGCTCATATCATATCCTCCCTCCGTTTCTAAATGTTTGACACCGTTGACTTTTTAGCACACATGTTTGATCGATCAACTTATTAAAAATATTTATGAAATATGTAAAACTATATGTATGCATACAAGTATATTTAACAATGAATCAAATGATAGAAAAAGAATTAATAATTACTTAAATTTTGTGACGAATGATCAAACATGTTTAAAAAAAATCACCGGCGTCAAACATTTAGAAACGGAGGGAGTATACTACTTCATATCTGATAATTAACGGCGAGAGAGAAGGAAGATAATAATGAATTGAATACTAACGTGGGATTTTGGAGAGTCTCTCCATCTCCAAAATCCAACGATTAACATCACTCGCTTCGCCAGACGTGGGGTACGTCGGGAAGACACGAGGCGACCGCCGGACTCCACCCCCTCCTGCCGCCGCTGCCTCCTCCACCGCCGCCGGAGGCACCCTCTTGCGCTTCTTCCGAGACGGCCCCCCCACTCTCCCGACGTCTTCAGCGGCAGGCGTCTCCAGCCCTAGCAGCCTTGATCGAAGGCGGGTAAGCCTTCCACCCTCTGTCGTCGACGGATCACCGGTTGATGGGGAAGCTCCCGCCGCCGCCGTCTTAGGCCTAGTCGGTGGGATTGGGGAGAGACGAGTCGAGTGAAGTCACGAGACGAGACCGACCGGACCGGAGCGGCGGCGTGGTTAGGTTATGTGCGCACGGCGCACAGGCGCACACCGCACCTCGAGAAGTTGGGCTTTTTCTTTTTGGCCCATCAATGGGGCGAAAAAAAAAACACTTAGACCCGTTTGATTGGTGGGAGTTTTTAGGCTATGTTCGGATTCCCTGATTGGAACTAACCCCTCCCGCATAAAAAAAACGGAATGATCTATTAGTCATGATTAATTAAGTATTAACTATTTTTTTCAAAAATGGATTAATTTGATTTTTTTAAGCAACTTTCATATAGAAACTTTTTGTGAAAAACGCACCGTTTAATAGTTTGAAAAGCGTGCGCGTGGAAAACGAGGAAGAGTGGTCGGGAAACTTGGGTGCCGAGGCTATTAACTAGTATTTTGTTTGGTTGGGAGACAGGAGAATTTTGATGGGATGCGGATGGGGAATTGAAGAAGGCACTCTCTCCATTTCAATATCTGGGTAGGGAGGTAATTGGGAGGGAATTCCTCCTTTACTTTGTCTAAACAAATTCAGCCATCCGTTTTTATTAATGGCCTAATCTCCAACTAAATCCCTATCAATTTCCACCACCTCTACCAAACAGGATATTGGATTAAAAATCAAATTCCCATCTTAATCTCCAACTAAACTTCCTATCAATTTCCACCACCTCTACCAAACATAATATTGGGATTAAAAATCAAATTCCCATCTTAATCTCACCATCAATTCCCTCGTGTAAACTCCCTGTCCCCTTCCCTCGAGTTACCAAACAAGCCAAGCCCGCGAGATGGCGATGGCGAGCTTGGCGAGGAGGCGCGCGGCAGAGGCGGTTCTGCTGCGGCGATTAATCACGCGCTAATGGACCACTCCGTTTTCTGTGCGTACTATTCCGGTTGGGAACTGGTAATGGCGAACATAGCTGTGTTCGGAAGCCAGCGTTCCCAACCAGATCAGTGCGCACGAAAAACGGAGCGGTTTATTAGCACGTGATTAATTAAGTATTGGCTATTTTTTTTCAAAAATAGATCAATATGATTTTTTTAAGCAACTTTCGTATAGAAACTTTTTTTTTTGCAAAAAAACACATCGTTTAGCGGTTTGAAAAGTGTGCGTGCGGAAAACAATAGGAGAGAGTTGGGAACTCCTCCAACCGAACTCAGCCAGTATTGTTGGGAACATTGAGTTCTTATTTACTTTCGTCATATTCATGGTGAATCTGATTGGAGCTCATGCATTGCGTGCATTTTGCGCCCATACATATACATTACGTACGCCCCCACAGTGGTTGTTAACTTGACATGCATTTTTTTTCCCACTAGAATTCATTCAGCAGATGGCTCATCAGAACCAGCCGGAACCACCACGGCGGTAAACTCTGTGTTCCTTGTGGAAGCGGTTATCAGGCATTTAACAGAAATTGGCGACGACGAAGAATCAACAGCAAGTTACTACAACCGTAGTAGAGCTGTTTACCGAAACCTTGCACAAAGAGTGCGGCGACAGACAGAAGGAATAGGAATAAGTGGCAGTACAAGTTCATCTGCTGCTGCTGCCGCTGCCGGTTCTTCTGGTTGGGGCAAGAGGAGCAGGCCGCCATCTGACGAAGGAACAAGTGATAAGACGCCATCAGGCCCATCAGAACCAAAGGGAGTTACCATGGGCATTACGGAGGGTACAAAATATAGATACTCCACTGGCTTTGCTATTGCAGAAAGAGGAGAGATTTTGAGGATTCTTACATGTGCCCATATTTTTGAGGATATCTTTACTAAGGATGTGCATGAATTAACAGTGGAGAACCTCAATATCATGTTTAGGTTTTGTGTGATATGTGTGCATCAAGAGCGAGAAGTTCGTCAAAAGCCCAGTGTATTACCCCTTCACAGCGGTTGAGGCAAACAACAACAGCGCGTGTGATTGCTGTTGATACACAGAAGGATTTGCTTGTTCTTGAGATTAATACAGGATACCTCTGTCTATTTAGTGGGGAAAATCAACGTACTGAGTACTGTAGGTTTGAGCACCCACCCATTCCCATTGCTCCTAGGCCCCCACGAACCATGGAGGAGGTTGTACTGTTAGGATGGCCACCTCAACGTTCGGAATCAGCATCCACAGGGACTGTCTCCTTCATCGGTAGAACCTATGACATGATATGCACTGAGGATTCCAATGTGAAGGGCTACACAATGAAGCTGATGGAATCAGGATTGGTTTGTTCTAATGGATATTCTGGAGGTCCACTTTTAAACAATGATGTACAAACAGTGGGAACCTATCATGGAGTGATTGAAAAGAAAGGGTACAGTGTAAGTTTGGAAGACATCAACCAATTCTTAACTCGATTTCAAGTGGTATGTATTTGTGCGTCAATTTATATGTTTTGATATTTACACTAGCTCGCTATGAGTTGAGCTCCACTGATGTTCTGTCTATGAATTTCAGATGACGCGATGGCCGGATGAACAAGCAGGTATGCCTAATTAACTATTAGCATGCATACGACCTTAGATGAATTAAACCTTTGTTTTAGACCACCGTTGTATAAAATGAAACTTAACATTAATAGATTTTCACCAAATAATCTAATTTGAGGTGTTTATATATTGGAAGACAACATATATGCACTGTTTTTTATTCACTATTTGTAGAGATAAAATATATCTATTAGATATACTATAAACATCGCTATTGGCATGCTCATTTGATCAATTAGACAGATTAGTGTGGTCCATGATGCTATTGTTAATTAGGTGCTAACAATTCTACGTTATATTTGTCATGGTAATGAATAATCCGTTAAATGAACATCAACAGAGATATAACATATATCTATAATTGATGTTATACTTTGCGAGCAATTCCTTTTTTAGTCCTTGGTAAATTGATGTATTCTCCTAAATTTATCATTTATTTTTCCTGAGCAATTGGAGACCGAGGAGAAACAACTCGACTGAGGAGCAGGAGGGGAGGATGAGTAGGTGGGATCGTGGAAGCTGCTCTCCAATGTGGGAGCTAGAACGCCATTTCGTATTGTATCTGAATGCTACTAGTTACTGCGTGTATCGCACTCCATTTCGTATTCTATCACTAGCTAACTAGAGAGTTGCTCTCATGGGCACAAACCTGTAGTTTTAATTAGCTGGAGCTCACTCCGTTTCGTATTCTATGACCTTGTATCTGAATGCTACTAGTTACTGCGTGTATCGCACTCCGTTTCGTATTCTATCACTAGTTAACTAGAGAGTTGCTCTCAAGAAATGTGCCACACAGTTTTTGTTGCTATGTGGAAAATCCAACCACACAAAAAATAATCAAGAAATAATACAACTTATCCAGGCTTGCGTAGAACTCCATGAACATATATATAATCAATGATAATAAGAGCGTACCCTGAATGCAGTATGCAGACAGATAGTAGCCATAGCCTATATAGCAAGATGGTGGATTAGTTTCGTCACCTGTGCTAAGCTTCAGTTTTAGCTTACAAGCAGTTTGTCGCCCAGCTGTTTGCGGTAGACCTGAATGAGACCCGCGCTGTCAATCGTCTGCAGCTTCTCCTTCAGTATCTTCCTGTAGCGATCGTCTTTGTCGTCCAAGCTTCTCATCAGTTCGATCTGATAAGACGGAATGTGTCAAGGATATGTATAAGAATTTGCGGGAAATGAAGAGCATTTCAACAGTTATCATTGTGAATATATAGAGCTTGTGATTACCTGTCTCTGGAATGCTTCGAATTCATCGGAGCTCAAGGAGCCATCGCTGTTTGCGTCGAGAAGATGCATGAGCTCCTTAGCATCTTTGCCCCCAGCACCAAGGTCTTCCATCACCTCTGTGAGCTCCTCAATACTGATCCTTCCATCACCGTTTTTATCAAGCTGGCAGAAAGCACGGTTCGTGCAGTTGCTGTCTCCTTGATCACTAGCTGGGAGGTCACGAAGACGCATAGCTGCTAACTCTGCTGCAGCCAACATGATAGCCTTCAGCCTTTTAGCCTGTAGAAAAGAATTTCAATGAATGATCATTCCAAGTCATCTAGAAATAATTTGTCTATAACTTTAGTCTTTTATAAGTCATAGGGCAATAGATTTTATTTCACTGAGTTCATCCAATAATTTTTTGCCGGGTCGGCCAAAAGATTCGGTCGACCAATTGGCTAGAGCGTATGGCTGTTAACCATAAGGTCGGAGGTTCGAGCTCTCCTTCTAGCGAAGTTTTTCAAAAGTTCATCCAATAATTACAATATGTCATTCACAATTAATGACATATTGTAGATATGGACGAAATCCAGTGGCGGCGTGGATTTATCCAAAAGTGATATACAACACAATTCCAGTTAAAAGGGTCAGGATCAAATAATCAATCATGTATCAACTAATAACATAAACCAGGCCATCTATGTTGTAAGCTCTGAAGTAATTAGTAATAGGCTACTGACTATTTTTAAGTAAAAAGGCTCTGTACAGAGTACAGACTATATGTCCTGTATGTTAGTCAGTTAGTTCAAACATATTATGCACTAATTATACTGTGAAGACATTTGTTGATATTTTTCAACTTATTTGAGTAAAAACACTTATCTTACTAATATAAGGGGAGCTACCTGCAGTAATTTGCTAAAGCAAAGAATATGTGCTCTGTTGTATTGCAAAAGGACAGAGTGATGACAATGAGGAAACTCACCTCTCCAGGATCTGTAAGTCCACCTTTGTAGAGAGAGTGAGATGCCTCTCCACCAACAGCAAATTTATGCATCTCCTTGGTTCGTATCTGTATCTCCATCAGTGGCCTCATCTTCCCAGGTTCACTTACATCGATGGCCACATGCAAGCTCTGGTAACCATTTTCTTTTGGCCGTGTGACATAATTTTTTGTCCTTCCTGGAACTTCTTTCCACATAGCTTGAATGATTTCATGTGTCCTGTGACAAGCCCTAGGGCCCCAGTCTAACGAGCTGCCATCACACCGAGGTTCTAAGATTACCCTTAAAGCTAGTATGTCATTTACTTCTTCTGGTTTTCTGCCATCTTTTACTAGCTTTTTCATAGTACTGAAACGGCTTTTATACCGCCCTTGAATTGAGATGTCTTGCACAATCTGGCTCAACTCATCATCATCTTTCAGTGCCTGAAGCAACTGCTCCTTGTACGAATCTATTAAGAGCTTGTTCTCAGTCTCTTGGCTCCTCAACCATTGATCAATATGGTCATATGAATGCGGAAACAAATAGCGAAATGAAAGATCCTCTAGCTCCAGTGATAGATTACCAGCTCCAACAGCATGGGCAAGTGGGGCATATATCTTCAGGACTTCAAGAGACTTTATCCGCTGAAGATATCTCGGGAGGCAGTCAAGGTGTCTCATCATATCGAGCTTTAGAGCAAGTTCCAAGATAACTGCTCGGATGTCATAGTAAGAAAGACAAAACTTTCTCAATGCACTTGCACTTTCATCATCAAGTACATCAAGCTTTGAAGGGGCATGCTTAAGCCGTAAACTCTCGTGCAGCAAATGAGCTGTGCTGATCCCAATCTCAGATTTGACATCCCTCATGCTTATTGCTCCTGCATCAAGTGCTTCCCTCAGTATTCCGGCTGAAATAACTTCGGCGTCCATCTGCCACCATGTGCCAAAAAAAACTGGTTAGATCTTACAGTTTAAAGTGGATAAATAAACCAGAGATGCTTAACTGTTCTATGACACAAAGAAGTGTAAGTATAAAGTATCTTATGAATTACCAGAACAATACAAGGAAATGAAGAGTTAGAAAATTCTCATGGACAGAAGCCAAACGACAAATAAGGGATAGCTGTTTCGTAACAAGTCCTAACCAATATTATCTTTTTTTTCGCCGGGCTGGCGTGAAGAGCCAGCCGAGATTTATTAAGAGAAAAGGAAGAACAAGTTACAAGCTACAGCAAAGAGCTACATGCCGGCAAAGCCAGCAACACACTTTTACATGGCTGCCTGCCGCTGCGTCAAACGCGAGACGACACCTCCCGGCAGCGAGCTACCACCACTACTACTGCAAGGGCTCGGTTGACTGCTGCAAGCTTCCTCCTGGCACCAAGCCCGCAGCTCCCCACATTCCCCACTCCTCCTCCATAGTCGCACACAGCTGCACAACCGACATTATTATCTTTTTTTTTTAAAAAAAGAACAAGTCCTAGTCATTAGGAATGTCATTTTTTTACTCTGGTAATGGAAACTACTAACTCATCAATGCCAGTTTAGCTATGATAATAATGTCCTCTACTAGTTGTACTTGTGGTAATGGTAGAAATAAGCACCCAGATGAAAACTGCGAAGCAAACAATAATAATTGGTACTACTAAGTACTAACATAAAACTAAACTGACAATCGTAGCCAATGTGTGTATGACAATTACTGCCACACCAGCAGCAAAATATATCTTGCTTCCAGAGTTTTGATTACAATGGGAATTATGTGACGATGAATTATCCTTTGCTAGAAGCAAAGAGGAGTTGCACCACATGGTTTTAAATGATATCGAGGTACTAGTACTACTTTATCCATAAGACCATAACTCATGTGGATTGCTAAGCTTAATGAGATGAATGAAACTACTAAATTTGCAATGCATTTCACCCAATTCGGCAAGTCGAGCTACAGGATGCAATCATTCGATTCGAGCAAACTACCTGGAGGTCGGCGAGGGAGGCGGCGATAGCGAGCGCGCGGGCGAGAGCCCGGCCGCCGTCGCCGTCGCGGAGGGCGGGGAGGGCGAGCTTGAGCGCGCGGAAGAGGAGGCGCGACGACGACGAGGTGGCCAGGCCCTCCCCCATCCTCCCCGTCAGCTCGTTGAACGCGCCCACCAGCTCCGCCACCAGCCGCCCTCCTCCCTCCGCCGGAGTAGACGACGACGACGACGACGACGACGTGGATGGAGAAGAGGCGGCCGCCGCGGCGGCTGCTTGGGCAGGGAGGCGGAGGCGGTGGAGGCGGCGCGGGCGGAGGCCTGGGCGGCGCGGGTGGGGATGCTGCCGGCGACCGCCGCCGCCGGTGGGGATTGCGGCGGCGGAGGTCGTCGCGGCGGTCGCCATGGGGGAGGTGGTGGGGCCCACTGGGAGGGATGAATTGGAGGCGACGTGGCGGTCGTTGACTCGTTGTGTGCTCGAAGCGGATGCGTGAAGTGAAGTGGTGTAGCGTAGCGTGGTGGCGATGATTGGCTTGCACTCTGCCACGTAGGATCCGCTCCTCCGTGGCGATTCTCATCCACGAGTTCGTCGTTTTTTTTTCCATCAAATTGATACTCCCTCCGTTTTATAATGTAAAACTTTGTAGTATTGCCCTCATTTCTCTGTGGTCACGCCCCACACCGGCAGCCGCGTCCTCCGTCCTCAGGGCCGGCCCTGGGCCAGTGCGGGCAGTGCGACCGCACCGGGCCTCCAAAAATTAGGGGCCTCCATTATATATACTATGGTAACAGGCCTGATAGGTTACTTTGTGCATTGAGAAGAGGCTGCTGGATAAGATTGTTATTGACACTATCATCACTGATTTTACATTTAGAACTATTAGAAGAAAGGGACAATTGTGTTTTTGCCCCTATTTCATGTTACAAATGTGATTTTACCTTTACTTTTTAGGGTTTGTGTTTTTGCCCTTACTTTTTTCAAACGTAGCTGCAGTTTGCCCCTGTTTTGAATGGCCGTTAGGGAGACCCAAATTTGTGAGACAAAAGAGAAGAAAAAAATATTTACAAAATGCAAAAAGGACTATTGTACCCCTGGAAGAAATAACTAGCCCAACACCACGTCCGTTCGACCGTCCCCATCCAAATCCGGTGCAGGGCTCAAGCCTCAAGCAGTTAGCGGCGGCGGGCGGTGAAGCGCCACGGGAAGGCGGCAGCTCCAGAGGGCAGCGTACGGGCAAGCGGCGGCTTCGGCGATGATGTAGAAGGGGGAGGAGCAGGGCGCCTCGGCTACGCTTCAGCAGGGGGGGCTCGTTGCTCTTTCCCCTCTTGTGCGTCAACTACAGGATGCCCCTCAGCGGCGGTGAGAAGCGAGCAGCATGGCGTGGCAAGCTAGCAACAACGACACACAGCAGCGACTCGTCCACAGAGACGAACGATGTTGTTGCTGCTTGATTTTTCTTTCTATTTTTTCCCATCTCATAGTATTTGCAACGCAAGGAATTTCTCATGAATTGTACAAGGGGCATGCGTGTCTTGCGTGTATGCAAATTCTAAAAAAGGTTGGGCAAATGTACAAGGGGCATGCGTGTCTTGCCACAGCTGAATTGACACCGTTAACTGATATTAACAGAATAGGGGCAAAGTGAATATTCATTTGAAAAAAGTAAGGGGTAAAAACATAAACCCTAAAAAGTAGGGGCAAAATCACAATTGAAACATGAAGTAGGGGTAAAGATGCAGTTGCCCCTATTATTATTTGTTTTTTTTTTGTCCGGACGTGCAAGTGCAAGTAGTGTTTCCTCTTCTGCGACATGCCCAAGTAGAGTTTGGGCCAAAAGTGTGTGATGGATGGAATTCGTGCGACCCTCGGTCCAGAAATGTAACATGCTTTCACCGCCTTAAAATATAACAATTTCGAACTATTTATCTCAATGTTTTTTTTTAAAGATACAGGGTCAAACATTAGTACTATATTTTTGAAACTGTATTGTATTCTCTCTGTCCCATAAAAAATAAAGCTAGAATGTGTTGTGTCAAGATTTATATGTAAATATTTATATTTATATATATACTAGGAAAAAGGCCCGTGCGTTGCAACGAATGAAGTCTATTTCAACCGTTTTATTGATTTTTTTTGTCTAAAAAGTATATGGGATTTTTATTTGATAATTGATAGTATTGATATCTAATTTGGAACTCTTATCGGGATGATGGTCATATCATGTACATTGCTTTCTTATTGCCTGACAAGAATTCTCAACCAATTATGAGTATGACTCTCGTCCCAAGTTAGCATGCGTGATTTTAGAAAGGATTTTTCTTATACGATTTTTATGTATTTTTAAAAGCAAACAAACTTAAAAACTGGCTTAAATACGGACGACGTACCAAAGTATCGGTGAAAACATTTTTAATTTTTACAATAGGAAAGCTCAAAGTTGTTGGCGAGGACGCATGAGAGAGCTGCCTCCTTGAACTCTTGCAGCGGCCGCAGAGGACAAAGTTGTGCAGGCACGGTCTGCATCACCCTGACGAATCGTCCGATCCATGCATGCGTCCTCGTGCCACGGGTTACGCTCGTAGCCATGGTCTCCGTCGCGTCTATGGCAGTGGAACGTCTTGGCCCGAACGCCGCTTTTAAACATTGGTGGCGGCGGCGGCAGCCAGCCGGCCACCAAAAAATCAGCACACGGTGATCTACTATTACGTTATTATCACACGTCGCTGCCTCTCGGATATATTATGATGATCGTATATCGTATCGAGCCTTGCGTTTTGGAATGGATCCTATTCCGTTTCTCACACAAGAACGCGATCCGATTGAAAATTGAATCGGGTGATTTTGTTCGACAGAAATGAAAACGTTCCATGCTTTTTAAGTAGTAGAGAAGAGAAGATATAAATATAGGTAATGATAGAATTAGAAACCAATTCAAATACGGATGACGTACCAAAATCTCGGTAAAAACAACTTCAATTTTTATAATAGTATAGACAGAGATTCCGGTCAAAAAAAAATAGTAGAGATAGGGATATGGTTTAGTTAAGATGAATTTATTGTGGGAGTTCGCTTGAATATATATATTTTTAGAAAATCATGAGCTGCAGTTAGGTGTCTGATCGTCTCAAGTTAGCATGCGAGTTTTTTTTAAACATATTTCTTATATGATTCCTTCTGTATTACCAAAAGTGATCGATCTTAAAAACTGAATCAAATACAGATATGTATTTTCAAAATTGAATCAAATACAGATATGTATTTTCAAAATCAAACGAACTTAAAAACCGACTAATACACGGATGATGTACCAAAATATCGGCAAAAATATCTTCAATTTTTATAATAGTAGAGAAGAGATAGGATGAGATGAGACATTCTAGAATTTTTTTTTGTTTTTAATTTTTTTATTAAAAGTTTTACAAAAATAATTTTCCATTTTGAAAATTGACAGAAGTAGTCGCCTTAAAAATCGCCATCCCAAAGGGCGGCGAAAGTGACGTGGCAGACGGCTGTTCGCTCTCGGGCGACGGCCGTCAACGAAATTTGCAGGCGGCCCCCTTGCTGCCCTCCGCTAGGGCGATTTTGTACTGTGCGGGGGGCCGCCTGCAAATGGGCAGCGAGGGGGCATGGAAATTTGCAGGCGGCCCCCTTGCCGCCCTCCAATAAGGCGATTTTCTACTGTGCGGGGGGCCGCCTGCAAATGGGCGGCGGGGGGCCTGGAATTTTGCAGGCGCCCCTTTGCAGCCCTGGGGGAGGACGATTTTATACTGTACTTTATTTGAGAAATATATTTTTTTTATAAATATCAATAGTTATCAAATCTTTTTATATTGAAAACTATACTAGATTAAAATCTCCAAGACTGGTAAAATACAATTTTATTATTTTTTAGGGCCTATTTGGAATGTCACCGTACAAATATTTTGTTAGTGCCAAAATATAAGCAAGTTTTGGCACTACCAAATCTTTGGTAAGGTAAAATTGCATTTGATCATATTTGGTTTGCTGCCAAAATGTAAAATTGTAGTGAAGAATGTTCTACATAATCTCAAATCTAGATTAGGTATTACCAATGAATAGGCTTCAATCGAAATCAAACACAAGTACTATTCAAATTACAAAAATATTGGTAGGGCATGTTTTTGGTAGCAATCCAAATAGGCCCTTAGTCTTACGCATACAAAAATTCACCACCATAATTAAACATTGTAATGATAAGATAGATAAGAAGTGCCATCGATACACGGTACAAATTTGTCGATCCCGACGAATCAAGCATGCGGTAACCTATCGGCCCCTTCTAGGTCGGTCAGAATGCATTGCATTCTCGTGGTCCTTCAATCGTTGATACTCTACTTGTGTTTCTGACTCTGTTATCTTCTGGCCATGATATGATGGAGTGACATTGTCGATCCATCGAGTAAATCCACACATCCTTGGATTGCCCTGTAAAAATAGTAATGTAATTCAGTTTGGGTAGTAATTTTGTGCAAATCATAGCGGATTTTGTAAACGGTTAGACATACAACGAAATCGTTGTCTACATTGGGGCAGACAAAATATCTCCTTCCAAATGTTTGTTCAGCAAAGGATGTAGCCACCTGACAGCGATCTCTGCACCCACACTTTGGACGCTCGGACCATTTAGGTAACCCTAATGGATTGTTCCTCCAGTCTAAGCTTGCAATTTCCACCTGACGTTCGTACTCCATCCAAGCATGAATGAACTGTATGGTCGGTTCAGGTTGCGTTATCGGCCCGCCACTTGAAGTAACTCTGACTGCGTCAATCCATTGTACGAATTGACATTTCCTTACATCCTCCTATGTACATCCATTTTGGGATAGTTAAGTTAATGATAGTACTGAGGAGTGATGAAAAGAATAGTTGTAATTACCACGAAATCATCGTCGACAATGTTTGGACACACGAAACACCTTTGTCCTCGAGTTCGGTGCCTTACGGACCTTATGACCTGACAACGGTCACCACAACGACACTCCGGACGCTCACGCCATGTGGGGAGTCCTAGGGGATTTACCTGCCATTCTAAAGCCTCAGCAGCAATTCGACGTTCATGCTCATCCTTTCGCCTTAGGTAGTCCGATCTTGTTTCACTACGTGTGTCGGTGATATGGGACCGGGAGTATCATGACCAGAGGCTTGAGGCAGACGCAATCGCCCACGTGGCCTGGCACCTTCGGGGACGTCGGGCCCGAGGGTGAGGTGTCCGCCCTCCTCCTGATTTCCCCCGAGGGGGGGTCGGGTTGCGCTTGCCCCGGCCCCGAGGGCCGAGGCACCCCGACCCCTTAAGGAAGTCTGCGCCACATATATGGGATAAGTGAGCACAGCTGTGCTCACCTAACAGCATTTATTGCAGTCTGGTCAAGCGTGTCACGCTGCATGCAACGCAGTACAGCGCGTTCCTTTATCCGGTCTGTGACCAGTCACAGACCGGTCAGATCACG